TCCTTTGAGATTAAGGATTTTTACTCAAACGAACACAAAAAGCATTGAAATCAATAATTTGATTTGAAAGGCAATATAAACATTTTTCTGATATTTATATATATATATTTTATTTATATATATATATAGGAGTAGTGGCTAGAAAAGTTCACCACATTAAAAATTATTCTAAAAAATGTATTTTAATACTAACAATTAATTCTCATAATTCGTACCAACCTTCTGAATAAATTCAATGGAAAAATGGAATAACTTTTTCCTTCCCACGGCTGCTAGTGCTAATGTTGTTGAATGCAGTCAAATGAAACGGAAGTGGCATCGCCATATTTTCTTCGTCGCCCTTTCTGAGTGAAGTTTCCGCGCAGTTTTGATTGTTTGAAAGCAGACTTTATTAATTGTAGTCTGTATACATTTTCTCCCCGCTGCGTTTGAATTTAAAGAGCGAAACCAAACCCGATAAATACATTAAAATAATAATAATAAGTCTCAAATTAAGTTTTTGCGGAATCCATGCATAGTCTTAACTCTTTTGTCATCGAAAGTAGAGACAATATTTTTTTAATTAATTTTAACATTTCAATAATATAATGATGTGTCATTTAGTTTCTCTTTTTTTAATGAATAATTTCATACAAAAATGTAAAACATTATTGCTATTATTATTATTATTATTACCGTATTTTCCGGAGTATAAGACGATTTTCTAGACCCAAATTATAGTGCCAAAACTTGGGGGTCGTCTTATACGCCGGGTACAATAGTCTTATATGGCGAGTATATCCCAAAACCAATATTTTTCCTGGAAAATTAGGGGGTCGTCTTATACGCCCAGTCATCTTATGCGCCGGAAAATACGTTATATGAAATAAAATAAAAATGCCGTTCTGAAAATTCAATTTAAAAAAAAGTATATTTCTCAAATGATGCAAAGCTTAAAAAAAATCTACATTAAGTAATAAGGATTTAGACTTAAACCTTTGTCATTTCCAAATAACAAAACTCATTACGTTTAAAGATACAATCTTCATCGTGCAGGTTTCCATCCCCTCCCCAACTTTTCTCCTAGAAGTTCATCAAAAGAAAATTGATCCACATTATGATCAGGGGCAGCCTTTCAGGTTTTTCCAAGCGGGTTGGGGGAGGGGGGGGGGAGCACAACCAAAACGTGGTGGCTTGTTAAGTTGTTTATTACCGGAAGTGCCATAATGTATATCAATTTAAATAAAACCTGAAAATTCAGGGGATGGAGGGCAAATACCCCACCCTGCCCTACCTCAATGACGTTCCTGATAATAATAATAATAATAATAATAATAAAGTTCATTTCAAAAACACGCTTCATCCCCAAAGGCTCGAAGCGCGGTACAAAGTCAACAAAAAACAAATATATAATTTACCACATTTAAAACAAACGCAACACTACAAAAACTAATTACAAGCATACAATTGCAAAGTCTTTCTAGCCATTTCAACTATAAGCAACACAGCCATTATGCATTAACTGGAAAATAAGGTTGACAATCATCCCAGAAGGTGTTTGCGAAATAGATGTGTCTTTTTGCGCTTTCCGTAAGTCTCAAGGCAAACACGTGGTGTCGAGAGTTTGCCACTATCGGATGAGCGGAGCTCTCTAGTGGGTACATAAGGCGTCAGGAGCTCTTTCAGATAGGACGGCGCCAGGTCATGTAAGCAGCGGTAGCACAAAGTTGCGATTTTGTACTCTATGCGAGCACGCACCGGCAGCCAGTGCAACTCTCTCAGAAGTGTTTTTGCATGGTCGAACTTGCGTTTGCGAAGAACAATGCGAGCCGCATTATTCTGTGCTATTTGAATTTGAATATAAGAAAAGAAACTTTCCACTTGTGCTAAAATGCCCCAGAGAACACATTGCAAAAGTTGCCCTTGCACTGTAAAAGTAAACATCAACAATTTTTCAAGTCCAAGTAAATTGAAAAATTGCAATTGCTAGGAAATTTAATAAATATTTGCATGCATACATCTCAATGGCTTAATTATGTTTTTATTTGTGTTGTATTTCAATGTTGCTTGCTTTGACAATTTCATGGTTTTTTATCTTATCAACAGAAACGCCGCGTTGCGATAGTCAGGAATTTTTTTGTTTTTAGTTGGGAAAAAGTTGGGAATTTTGTTTTTAAAAAAGTGTGGGAACCCTGTTTTTTTTTGTTCAATTAATGTTTATTCATTTTGTATCATTGAATTTATTTGATTGGTTCTTTTAAATTTGTTTTTTATATTTTTTTTAAATTCCAGGACTCTAACATTTTAGTAGCTGCAAACAGCCAAGGTCTTGTCAAGGTAAGATTTATTGTACACTGTTCAACTCCAACCTAAGTCTATTAGTGTTATCTTTTGTGCTCTTTCAGTTTGTAGATTGAGATTACACTCAATCCTGAGAGGTCATTTTATTATTTTAATTCACTTCTAAGTATGTTCTAAGAAGTTAATTTTTCTCAATTTCAGGCAGTAGATGAGTCATTTGCAGAGCTTCTCTTTTAGAGTTTTTAAAATTTTAATGTGCTAACTCGATTTTTTTTTTTTCAGTTACTGGAGTTGGTTTGAAACTTTAAGCCCACTCCCCCAGCTTTTCCCATGTTACCAAATCGTCTTTCAAGTCCCTTGGATACAGACTCTCAATGGAGACGAACACACTCAAGAGTAGATGTCTTTTGGTGTGGGATTGGCCAGTCCACTCAACTCAGCTGCCTTACAAATCAACTGATCAATGAATTAACTGTTTATAAGCATCTGAACTGGTTGTGTGTTGTTGGGTGATGTCATGTGAGACGTTTACTTAAGAAACTCCAGTTTTGTACAAAAAATTTTTTGATGCTTTGATTTAAATGTGCTTAGGTGTAAATATGTACCAAGAGTGGTGGATTCTGGGTTGAGTCCCCCTCTTAGGTACCCTACCTCCTGAAGTTCTTGAAACATATATATATATATATATATAAATTTTATTACCCCTGCTATCTTTGCCCCAAAATCTGTGCATTCCCCATGTGGAATGAGTTTGTTAAATGCCTCTTGAATATTTATTTTTAGTGGTTATTTTTTTTCAATTGTCCTTCTCCACTTCAGTCTTCAAAGTTCTCGTTTGAATATTTGCTCTAAGATAATTTAAGCATAGAATTTTGAAATTAAATTTTTTCATACAATATTAATGGAAAAGAATTATTAAAATAGAACAAATTTTACTAGCCTTTGATGGTAAGATTCATTTGATGCTGCTAGTTAACTCATGCACTGTCAAAAGCAAACATGCTTTGTGTCAATTCTTTTTTAGTAACTTGATATGTATCACTAAAATACCCAAAACTAATAGAAATTATTGAATCCAGGGACCCATGTAAGTATAAATATTCTGAGAGAAAATTGGACAAGAAACCATATGGTATGTTTGAAATTCTGTGAGCTATGTAAAATGAACATGACCTTAATGATCTTAACCTTTCAAAAGTGAGTACAAGTGGGCTTCAGTTTCCTCAACTCACACCCACATTAATTTTTGGTTCTTTTTATAATCTAAATACCTTTTTCCGACACATGAAACAATAATTGAGAAAATTTAAAGCCATTTGGTGACCTACATATAATGCCTATTAAATTCATTAGTACCTTATTTTCCACTACTTCCACCATTAGTAATTGAACTGCCCCTAGTGCCAGCTCCACTCTTGTAATTATCACTACCATGACTAATGACAACAGAAGTTTCTTCAAAATCCCAAATAAGCATTCAAATAAATTAGGCTTTTGCTGAGTTCTACACTAAAAAAAAATTTAATATTTGAACAAATGAAATATTGACCTCAGATGCCTTTATTTAGGATGTGATTTATGTTCTGTAAATATAGTCACCAACTTTCAATCAACAATATTCAATGAAAAAAATTTTTATGAACCCATTTCTACTGCTTTCAAGGTGTTTGTTTGGAGATTGTAAAAGATGGGAGCAGGGTTGTTCCATTATTTCAAAATGCATTAGGACTAAACATATCATTTACCAGCTGTAATTACAATTTTCTTTCCGCACTTAACACACTCTTCTTTTAGTTGTCTAAATAACACATTTTATTTTTTTAACTAGTTATTAAATCATGTAACGGTTAAAGAGGACTAAAATGTTAATGTATAAATTTTATAAACATTTAAACACGAACCCAAGTGATGATGGGGAAAATAATTGAAGCAAAGTTACATTATGGTACTGGTAATAATAATAAAATGTTAATTTTTTTCTTGCAGGACACAGGCTGGGAAACTTTTTTAACCTGTGAATATAAATTTCATAGTTCTCAATATATTTTCCCAGCCTCAATATATTTTCCCAGCCTCAATATATTTTCCCAGCCTGGATTCTGCAAGAAAAAAAATTCACAAAGGGAACATATATTTGTTAACCTGTGAATATAAATTTCATAGTTGTCAAAGTAATGTATGTTCCCTTTTTTCACCCACCTCCCTAAAAGCCTTAGATGGTTCTATTCTTTAATCTTGTTTTCAAACTCATTGTTTTGTACCAAGATATTTGATTATATTCCATACGCATTGTTTTCATCCTGTACTAAATCTGATAAGCATCCAGTCCACCTATAATATACAACTAAAATGCTTATCAAATTTTCTAAATACTGACAAAAAATTGTCAGTATTGATTTTTTCAGGGAATTTTGTACAGTTTTTATTTGTAACATTTCTTTCTGTTTATCAAATGCCAATCTGTGAAAATGTTTGACTGCAGAAAATGTGAAGAATTGACAGAGTGTGATGAATTTAGTTGTATCATTTCAGATTTCAAAGAATATAACTTGCATCAAAGTTGTTCAGTATAATTTATTGAAGAAATTAAAGCCACAACTTATTTTGCTATACCGGTCTTACTCTTTGTTTTTAAAAATGCTGAAAAATTCTAATTTGAGAGGTTTTAAACATTTTGCACAATATAAATTAAAAAGAATAATTAGAATAGAGCAAAGCTTTTCACAAAATTAGAAGTTTAATTTTTTTTTTTATTCCAACAACAAAATGCAGAACAAGAAGTTGTTCTCCCAACTTTCTGGCAGTTTAGATCAAAGGTCAGAGAAACTGTTTCATCCTTTAACTTTTAGGGCTTTAAACCACCCTGCGGCAGAGTAGTAGTTGGTCCCTCTTTGTCTCATGTCAGACAAATAACTTGTGCACATAGGCTAGGAAGTACAGTGGCAACCACCATGCCAATCAGAATGTGTTGTGTCACGATAATGTACGTCTGAGATCTAAGCTCAGTGGCAACCACCATGCCAATCAGAATGCGATGTGTCACGATAATGTACGTCTGAGATCTTTGCAGTCGACTTTACTCTCTCACATGCAGGAAATAACTTCTGTCAGTGGTTTTTAAGGGAGATCAGGAGGAAGATGATTTTTGGCGTTTCCAGAATTTTTTGACATCATCATGACCTGATTTAGTTACTATTAGCACTCTTTTCTCTGGCATTTCCCAGACTAATACACCAATGTCCTGTGGGAAACATTACCAGACTTAATAAGGTATCTTACAGGAAGTCAAATTAGCAGAGTTTATTAGCTGTATCAAACTACTAACCGGAATATATTTTTAAATTTACAGACTTACTATGAGCTATCTAACTGGAAGGTATATTTTTAAATGGCAAACTTAGAGGGATCTTAGTTAAAGATATTTTAAATTTACAGACTTAATATGATGTATCTAACTGGAAGATACATTTTAATTAGCAGACTTCATAAATCAAATGAATAAAGAAACAATAAAAATGTTGCTCCATTACCTGGTAGCAAAGGGCTTTTTAACAAAAATAATGTGAGCCAAATAAACAAAATAATAGTGTGAAAACATAAATACAAAAAAAATATAACACAGTGAACAAGTTGATACAAAAAAATAACACAGTGAACACGTTGATACAAAATAACACTTTGTCATTACCTTTGCATAATTTCTGAGCAACTCAAAGTCTGCCTGTGACAAGAACTGGTTGTACATTACTCCATCATTGAACTTGAACCTGTCTCTCTCTAGTTCCCAGAGTTTCACTTGGTCTCTGATTGTTGGAGGGACAACTGGGCTCTGGGTACAAGGGGCATAAATACTACATACAATTTTGAATGTACTTACAACTGTGATATTAAACCATAAATACACCTATGCTTAGCCTAACCTTAGGAACAAATGTGGACTTTTTTTAACCAATACACAGTTAATCAGAAAATTTTATTGTTTGAATTTTTGTTTCTCCCCATACAAAAGATAGCATCATTTCATAGATTTATGACAAGAATTTTAGGTTTTGAATAAGTCATACTAAAGTAGAAATAATTGTATGTCAACAAGCATAAATGGAGTTTAGATTGCTTTATCTTTATGTTAATGTCATCTTCATTTTTTAAAATATGTTTACCATTAAAGTTAAACCAATGGCAGATCCTCACATTTAAATGAGCCAAATAGCAAGAAGAAAGTGTACCGGTACAATTAAATAAATAAGTTCCTTGAATAAAACTGTACACAAACCAAAAGTTGTTCCTCAAATGACCTACTTCTAAAGTTTAAGTACATTTCTTCCTACCTTTTTTAACATTTCAGGATGTGCATGGCTCTGAAGGAAATGGAGGATCTGTAAATGGAGAAGCTATTTTAAAACCTTCAAATTAAACAAAATTTAAATGCAATGGTAAAAGTTGTTTTAATTTCAGGTTTTTTTTGGTGGTAATTTGTAATGTGGATTTGGAAGAATAAAATTATTAAACCATGTGTGCATTATGGTAAAATATTCCTCTCTATACTTTATAGTATCAAAGTGGCTATTCAGATCCGGGTCCGAGAAGTTAGAGGTTGGGATTTAAATTTTTTTTTTAAATATATATATTCTATGTTTGTAAACTTAATTCTTCAGTTTAACTAAAATAAACAACCACAAATGACATCCAAATAGCATTGAGTCTAAAGGGACCCGGTTCAGTATAGAGGCGATGTGTTTCCGGTTCCATTTTGACTAAATGCTATTCGGATGTCATTTGTGGTAGTTTATTTTAGTTGAAATTAAGAAGTAAGTTTACAAACATATAGTCCATTCAATTATCTTTCATTTGATACCAAATTTTGTCTTAAAAACCCTACAATAATTTTAAAATATTTTTTAATACCGGTAAACCCAAACTCTCACTTCTCGGACCCGGATCCGAATAGCCGCAGTCTTATATTATATCAATTGCACCAACTCATTTTAACATGTCTGTAAATCCTCCTATTTACTTTTTCTTCTTCAGAGAACTACAAACTGACCTGATCAGCAGTTATGCCCCTTGCCAAGGCTTCTCTCACACTGGACCTTGACAGATTGGCCGCCACCATGTTAGGAAACCTGACCCAAATTACAAGCAAATTGAATTGTAATGTTTGTCTTAAAAGCTGTGAAATTTTATAATAGTTTATTGGATTTCCCCCGAGTGTATTTCGTGGTACAGCTTGTACTTTGCTTTTCCAATTTTAAAAAATGACCGATTTTTTTTTTAAAGATAAGCAGTTCAACATTAAATTTTATTCACCTGAGGCTAATATCTGGACTGGGTAATTATCCAAACTACAACCACTGAAGAACACTTTTAAATGCCTAGATTTGTGTACACTAATTTAAATGCAGGTCTCATTACACAGGTATGTTTTGTGCATTTCCCTACTTTGATCCACTTCTTTAAATAAGCAAACTGACATCATGGTAGTTGTGATAGTTCCATCTTATACTGCATCATTCAAAGAGAAATGGACTTTGTGGGATAATCATTTCAAAGTGTCCTTAAAAGAAATGATGGACCTCTAGAGATAATCAGGTTATACTATTAGTCCATAAAACAACTGACCTGTACAACATTTCACAGAACAAAGCAAGCAGGGCCACTTGTAAGGGGGAATCTGTGTATGCATAGACTCTGTAGTTGGTCTCCACAACAATGAAGCCAGGTCTGTGAGTGTCAATGTTACTTTTAGAGAGTCCCGACACAATGTTGACAGCCAGTCTCGTTGGGTAGTAGCGATGAGATTTACGCTGAACAATAGAAATGTCAGTTTAAAGAACTCAACTAAAAGAAAGATGTTGATCAATTTTTGTTATACAAGAAACTTGATTATAAAACCAATTTCCTTATCAATTCAAGAAAAACGTGGAAAATTATTTCTGTCAAAATTGTGTATTTTAAATTAAATTTTAAAAAAAAAGAAGAAATATAACTGTTTTTTTAAGAAATTTGTCAGCAACAATTGAAATATATCTTGGTGAATTTAATACTGAATTATGAAAATAAAGGTTATAAAAAACTTTAAAATTCCTTAATTCGTTTTATTTTTTTGTACTAACTTTTCTCTGATAGACCAGGCCAAACTCTCGCAAGTGTTGCAGAAAACGCAGCTGGTTTTCACTCATTCCTTGTGTACAGTAGTCCTAAAGAAAGTTGACAGCAGAATAAATGAAGTCAATAGATGACTTGGAGCAAAAAAATGTTTAAAAGTGTTCTTCACTTTTTACAAGTTAAATTTTAATAATTTAAAGGGAGATTTAATTTCCTTCTTTGAAAATATGTGTACAAGTTTGCTCATTTAATTTTATCAGTTTTTATCACTTTTTTAAAGTTATCATAAAAGTTACAAAACAAACGGCAGACACTTTCAATTATGAAGTAGGGTATCTGTAAGTAAAGACCTGTTGCGGTAAATCTCTCTATAAAATTGTGGTAAAGTAATACTTGCTGAAAGAAACCCTTAAAATTAAAATGCCATTAACGTTATCTTAAAATTAAAATGCCCATAACTTGATCCTTACCTTTCCTAGTGTTGAGAAGCTCAACTGGAATAGGAAAGCCAGACACTCTACCAAGTCCATGCCCCTAGACTGAAAGAGAGAGAATCATTTCAGCTAACAAAGCATGTCATTGAACTTTTTCTGGCACAATCCATTGAGAAAAGAAGAGTTGTGTGTGTTGAAGCTATGCTGCTGCTGCTTTCAGGGATGAGTCTTCAAACTAAATCTGATTAACTCAGTACTTATGGGACCTATTTTCAGCCAATAACCATATAATAATAGTTTCTGCCAAAGAAACAATACGTTAAACAATGATTACTTAGACATTTGTTCCTTAAGACATTTATTCAAGTTTACAATTTCTAACAACCACCAATGCCTTTCAATAAAAATTTAATGATTTGTTTAAATTGTCTATTTTGTTAAAGTGTGTAAAGTTGTGAATAAAAACAAAGAAAAAGTACACACCTGCACAGTATCAAGATATTGTAGAAGGAAAAACCAAACTTGAGACGATGTGTCCATCAATAAAAATTGAAACCCTTCAGCTGTGATGGAAGGTTCGCCGTCATCACTAAATGATACAAGAGCATTTGACTTAAATTACGAAGCAAAACAATCCAAATCTTTTTTTAATCAGCTCAGGGTGAAAAGATTAAAAATTCTTATTTTACATATTTAATTACAGTTATGCATCATATGAATAAAGGAGTTACAAAGACATAAGCCAGATCCTACCCACAGGATTATTCTTGCAAAAATTTTAATGCATTAATGTTGGCTTTAGATAACTGATGGCATTCAACTCAGATGTAACCAACTCAAAGATGATTGCCAATCCTTGATCTCAATGATACATCAAAAAAGCAGATATCTTTATATCAGTAACAATAATATAATTTAGGTAAGTCTAATTAACACCCCAATGGATATAAAGAGCAGGTTCTACTGAATGACTTACACCCTCATGAGTCCACTGTGCAACAGGACATCAGTTATGTCTTTATTGACTCCGTCTGTTCCTTCATTGGAGCCAACCATGAAGTGAAGTACACACTGCAATGACCATCAATAAAATTGATAGCATCAATACAACAACAAGAAATATTTGTGAATACCAGTTAAGGGAAGCTGTCTCAATAAAAGAAGTGACAAAAATCAATCCACTAAATCCAGCTAATCAATTAATAATGCAGTTCCCAAATATTTGTTCACATTTTTTGGGGTTTTATCAGACTTCCAAACAGAGATGGTAGATCACCTACCTCCCACCTTTCTAAGGCATACTTGTCTAGAAAAAGGATGTCTTTGGCATATTTATCTGGAGTCAGGTCTTTACTACCAATCCAAGAGGTGCCACTGAAATTATAAAGACTAATAATTTACAATTTATAAAGGCACAGGCTATGCTATGATTAAAACACACTATTTCTATACCTAAACCCTGCTAATAACACACTGTTTCTATGCCTAAAGCCTGCTAATAACACACTGTTTCTATACCTAAAGCCTGCTAATAATACACTAATTCTATACCTAAAGCCTGCTAATAACACACTATTTCTATACCTAAAGCCTGCTAATAAAACACTATTTCTATACCTAAAGCCTGCTAATAACACACTATTTCTATACCCCCAAAGCCTGCTAATAAGCCAACAAGTTTGGGCATGGAAACAAAGCACATATTTGAGATGTTGAATGTGCCAATGTCAACTCTGTCAATTTTTTTTATTGAAAAGAAGTTAGGATTTAAGCTATTTGAAAATACTAGTTAAACGTGGGTAAATTTTGACTACGACTGCCACTATTTTCTCAATGGCTGCCATCTTGGTTAAAACGTCACGTGCAGTCATCTATCCCTATGCCTAACCTGAACCCTAAATCGATCCCTAAAATAATTTAGTAAAAATAAACAAAGGGAAGTCACTCCCTGGAAAATAAGTCGTGGCAATCGTAACTAGGATTAGCCTAAACTTGTTTACCTCTACCATCACATGACACAATGGATAAGACACTCTGTGTGACTCTGTGATATTCCAATGCCATTGATGTGTTCAAACTTTTATATCAAATTAAATAAACATAAACAATCTTATTTGAGTGGCTCAGAAAATGATTACCCTCCTAAAAGAGCTGTAACCAGGTTAGTCCTGAACACATGGTTCAACAGCCAGCCTGGCATACCACCAGGAAGAGGCTGTTCATACCAGACTCTCAACTCCACTAGAGCAGCTGCTGCTTCAAACTGCTCCCTGAAATATTTATTATTTGAACTTAATGGCACCTGTTTCATGTATTTTGATGAGTTGTACTAACGGCCATTTTACATTTCTTAATAACGATTTTAAAAATATAAAAAATGTTATTCAAACAAAACTTCATAGCAACATAAACTACTACTCTATTATTGTGACAGACATAGCATTATTTTTTTCTTGTTTTCTTTCATCACTCATAAAGCTACAAAATCTGGATGCCTTACTCGGGCGGTGCTGTGCTCCACTGCTGTACAACTGCCTGGGCTACGGCTTGCTCCACATATAGAATACGCATAACATAGTGACGAGATAACTCTGGGATATCTCTGAAATAAAAATTAATACAATACAATGAAAAAATTGGTTAATACAATACAATGAAAAAATTGGTTCATTTTCTAAGTTATTAAATACTGTTTAAAACTTTAGACTATTAATGCACCAAGTGAAAAAAATTGTTATTGCTTTGTTCACTAGCTTTTCACAAGTATTTGTTTGAGATTCGATAATAAAAATGATAATGCAATAAGCTGCTTTTTTATTTGTATTGTGCATTGAGTTTACTAACGACAAAGCTCAAATTATACATTCTTAGTATTACTAATTATAATAATTAGTTATTATAGTCTTAGGCTATCTACCAAAACAATGAAGACACAGGCCTATGATTTGTATGAATATGACAGCCTGATTATGTAATAATATTAGACTGGTGTTGGGTAGGGTGAGAGATATGATACACGATGGGTAGAAGCTGATGCACCCTAAGCATAATATTACATGCAATGGGTAGAGCCCAGTGCTTTCATCCACTAAAACAGGCCTAATCCTAAATAGGAATGAACCTAGCCCCAACAGCGGAAATTTTTAATTTCCAAAAAACAACATCAACTAGCTTTAGTAGTTTAGTGGATATGAATTTTTTTTAACTGTCCATTTTTTAAAGTGTCTGGACCTAGTGTCTTTGTACTGGTAGTATGGACTGCATCACCTCATTCTATGACCAAAGTCTCTGGTTTTAGTTTTTACATACTGCTGTTAATTTATTATATAATGAATTTAAAATATTAAAATTATTTCATTCGTACTTGTTAATTGATGCTTTTGCTATCAATTATAGACAAATTTGCATCATATTCAGCGAAATACCATAATGGATTAATGTACAATCATTTACAATAAACAACAGTTTATAAATTAAAATTTGTTCCTGTACCTGTAAATAAATTTTGACCATGTTTTACATACAAATAATAACTTATTTACCGCTAATAAAGAAAAGTAAGGCTGAATGCAAAACTGAGGGAAGCAACTTTATTGTTTAAGGTACTACAACACAAATTATTCACATGCATCTGACATATACAGCATATCACTAGAAAGGGCTGGCTTTCAGCTTTCCAATGACACCAATATAATCTTTTTATCATTTATAATTTATAGGAGAAAAATTATGATTTTTTTATAGTGACTTATTTTTACCCACTATTTAGCTTTGTTTTTTTAATTCCAAAATTTTTTAAAAAACTATGATCAAATCATTACTCTTTTTGTACAATTTTATTTGTATCTTTTTTTTTTTTCTTTTTTTTTGTTTTTGTTGTTGCTATTAAAGATAGAGTGATAGAGTGCTCAAATTTTGAGGAGACATCCTTACTACAATGCTTCACAAAACAAAATTGTGAATTAATTACTGGAATTATATTTCTTAAAACATGATCACATACTCATAGTCATAAGCTGCTGTTAATGACATCTGTCAAAATATTTAGTTTTACAACATATTAAATAACACTTAATCCAATCAGGCTAGTGCTATAACATTTTAGTTACAAAAAAATATAATATCTATACTATCTGAAAATGAAGCAATTTTAATTTTAAAAATATATAAATCTTTGAGTTTGAGCAGAAAAATTTGTTCAATATTATTAAATAGAAAAAAACTTTTCTTTTGAATCATGTAAGTTAGTTGAATTTTAATACAAATTTATGGAAAATTTCTTTTTTTAATTTTAATATACTTCATTTTAACCTTATGATGCCTTATCATTTATGATGCTAGTGCTAGTAATGCTCAGTATTTACAGGGGTCCCACTCAATGAAAGCTGTGAACCCTGAAATCTCTTTCTAAAAATTTCTTGAAACCTGAAACTTCATTTAAAATTGTTTCAAACCCGAAACTTAGCGAAGCTTATAAAAATTCATACACTGTAGAAATAATTTCTTGTGCGCAATAGAAAGTATTAGTATATAGTATAGAGTTATAGTCTAAGTCTAATGTATGTTAGTAATTGTTTAGTAGTTTAGTATAGTATAGTATAGTATATTATATTAGTATGACAGATAGTGATATAGTGTGTCATTTTATAATAAAATAGACGATAGATTTGATAGATGTAAGAAAATTACCGAAAGACTGCTAAGCAGGTAGCAGGGTGACAGTACAAACGATCTAGAACAGTAGGTGGCAAAGTCCGAAGATATGAATGTAAATCTTTACAAACAATTTTTTTCATGCTGGAAGTATTGGAAGCCATACTTCCTTCTCCTTACTAACGTCTAAGTCTAATGGTACTGAGTTTCGCTATTTACCCAACTCTTATTTCAAACCGAGATGTATATTTAGTGGTAATACCACGACCGTAGTTTAGTTATATTTAACAAAATATTAACATATACATTTTATTAGGATTTTTAGAGTTAACACTTTCAGATTCCTATTCTTTGATTGTAAATTATTTCTTTACTTTAGAAGTATTTTTTTTTAATTCTTTAAAATATTTAGTATCTTTAAAACTAGTCATAAAAAATTATTTCTAGCTTATCATGTCTTGATTAAACTTTGTCAGATAATATTAATAAATCTTACGGCAAATAGAGATTTTCAAAATGTTTATTGTCTGCTAAAAATGATTTGCAAAATAAAATTTACATTTTTAATAACGCATATACCATTGGTAGTTTATCAATAATTTATTTTTTCAAAAAGGTATATCTCAAACTTTTAAAGCGTTGAAAAAAATTATTTCGCTTAACCTTTATCAACTTAATTTTAACCAAAAAGGCCTTTTTTCCTCTTTAAACCTGTCGGTGGACAACTCTTAACTGTGTCATGTGACAAGTAATCACGTGACAGAAGATAAAAGTGTCAATGTATCTCATGGAATAACATTTTGATAATTTTGTTTTGTTAATTATAAAGTGAGTATGTCATAGGCAGAAAAAATATAATTACTGGCACTGGCATTAAAATTTAAAAGATTATCTCAGATATTCAAATATAATTCATTGTATTTTTATTGTAACTAAGATAATAAGGTAATCTACCTTTTGAGCGTCGGCCAAGAAAAAATCCAGTTTTTCCGATTGGAAGGGCTATGTAAACAACTATTCTTACATTGCAGTCTGTTAATATTTTTGCTTCCGTATAGAGGCTATAAAGTTATATAGCATAATAGAAATACATTTAAATACTTATTACTGCCAAGCTACCGATATGCCAGGAAGAAAAAGAGACAACAATTTTTTTTTTTATCCAGATGACGCGGATGTCCACACACAGAATGTGGAAAACGTGAATAATCAGAAAGCATAAACTGAAAAGACAGTTTGGCACAAAAAGCGCCGGTGATCTTTCCCCTTCATATTTACGTGGATTCATGTACCACAACCGTTTTCGTGGAAATTATATTTTTTTTAAACTTCATTGTCAACTTGGGGGATAACTATTCATAATTCCATTTTCACACATTATCTTCTATTTCAAAAAAATTGTTATAGTTTTTCTATTTTAAAAAAATTTTCTATTATAATGGGAATGAATATGTACAACCAATGTCATTAAAAATAATATAAGAATAGTTGTTTAAATAGCCCTTCCAACCTGAACAGCTGGATTTTTTCTTGGCCGACGCTCAAGTGGTAGATTACCGATAATAACTAAGAACAATGATAAATGCTTCACTGTGCGACTGTCAGTGTGCCTTCCCCCTCGGTGTAGTAACAGTAACACAGTTCAAAAATCAATATAAACACTCATTCTTCCCACGAACAATAATTGCTTGGAACCAACTGGACAATGCCGCTGTGGACTCGACATCAATCGAGAGTTTCAAAGCTGCCCTGGCGCCCGCTAGGAGCTGTTAGGATAACTACATCGTTTCCCAAACCGTTGCTTATATTCATATGCCAGTACTTGGTTGCAGCAACGTAGTCTATCAGACATAATCAGAATATGCTTGATCTTGGGCCCTCAAAATATTTTTCACGTCAACTTCACGGTGAAGATTAAGATGTGCCTTTTTTTTTTTTTTTAACTTCTCCCAACCTCACTTCATCAAAATCTAGCCATACACATTTTAAATTTAAATAATAATTAATATTAATAATGTCTAGGTCTAGCCCCATATCCAGAAATTTGTTTGAAAGAAATTTCGTTGACGGAAAGTTGATTGAACGAAAATTTGGTTGCATCTTTTTTTTCAGTTCAAACGTTAAAATTTTCGTCAAATTTCTTTTTGAATGCTCTATTCTATACCATGTAGTAAACCAAAATGATGCGTTCAAAAAGAAATTTGACGCAAAATTTTAACGTGACAACTGATAAAAAAGATTCAACCAAATTTCCATTCGATCAAATTTCCATCTATCAATTTTTCGTCAACAAAATTTCTTTCAAACAAATTTCCGGTAACCCATTTTAAACAAATGTTTACATACAATGTAAAATTTGTATTAAGTTATTTTAATTTTTATGGGAAACATTTAAATGGCTATAGGCTATATCCTTTATTAATACAATAATATACTATTATACTATGGGGTCGTCCATTAATTACGTCAATAATTATTAAGTAATTTTCCCCCCCCTCCCCCCCCCCCCTCCACCTTGTCAACAACTGTCAAACTTTCAATGACCCCTCGTATTTAATCATGTCAACATTTTCTACCCCCCCCCCCCAAAAGGAATTATATTATAAATAAATTTATAAATACATTTCACATTGTGCTGATCTATTTTCTAGCTGCTATCATCTTCCCATGGAGTAGCCAGGTTTGCTCTATCATAACAATAGGCATCAGGGACATCATTTTTGGAGGGCCGGAGGGCATTCCCCCCCCCCCCCCATAATTTGCAGTTTTTATTTAAATTGCTATGTATTGTGGCACCTCCAGTAATAAACAACTTAACAAGCCGACCAAGTTTTGGTTTTGCCTCCTCCCCCCTGAAAAGAACCTGAAATGACACCCCTGATGGGCATAGTCTATAGTAGCTGATTTATCATTAGCATCTTGCGGCACTGATATACCAGACAAGGTATAGGAGCCTATATATTGATTGAAGTGATTGAAGTGATTGAAGTGATTGTCTGGTTCATTTCAACTAATACTAATAACTAAGGGGCTTCACTATGAAATTGAAAGTTTATTGATTTTTGATTTGGCATTACACAACTGCATTACTATTATTAGTATTGACTGCTATGCATTTTTTTCTAATCTCTCAAGGAAATTATTTTTAGGTACAAATAGGCCTTCATGTCATAAATTATCTCATTTTAAGACTGTTGTGTGCTGAGATTTACAAATCATTGATGTTTTGCTAGATACACTATCACATAGGTCAAGGCCAAGGATAACAAAAACTTGTGACTTGTAACTGAACTAGACTACATACAGATAACTAAATCACAATTTTCTTGTGCTTGAGGAAGAGAATAGATATTTAAGAATAATGGCTTCAGGAAAAACTCAGTAAGTTTCATTATAAAATTGATATTGATCATTGCTTATCTTAAGGTGCATGCACTTCTTCTCATGCTATGAGTAGACAATTTTTGTTAAAAGTTAAATTGTAATATCCACTACTAATATTACATTAAACAATTTTTAAATTCTTAGTTCAGCTACCTAAATTTCTCGACTTTTCAAAAGACTAACATAGACACCTTTCAATGGTATAAAAATGATGTACACTTAGGCCTAACTTTTTTTTCTCAGACCAACATTTAGCAGAGGAGACCATACTCATGTTATACCTATGGAGCTCTTTCAACAAAATCGCAAGCGACTATGTGATAGATTGATTTCTACTGGGAAAGTGCCAAAAGGAGCTTTCATTGTACTTCAAGGAGGTGGTGCAGAAACTCGCGATGACACTGATCATGAACCTCTTTTCAGACAAGTACGTTACCCCTCCCCCATAAATTTAAACACAACATCTTTTTATTTAAAACATTTTACTTTTAAAAAACATAAAATAATTTTCGAATGTTTGATAAAATAATTTTCGAATGTTTGTTTACGATAATGACACTCACATAAATAATGTTATTTTTAAGGAATCCTTTTTCCATTGGGCTTTTGGAGTTGAAGAGCCAGATTTCTTTGGAGCAATAGAAGTTGACACAGGCAGAGCCATACTGTTTCCTCCTCACTTGCCTGAAGCCTATGCTGTTTGGATGGGAAGGTAGGCCTATCTATTCATAAATGGCCAAAGAACCATTTATACCCCCCTTTATCCTGTGAGTTTCCAAAAGGCTAAAAATACTATTTGGCCCTGGCCCTGGAGTAAACCTAACAACATCGGAATACAAATTATTCTGTACTGGTGTAGATGTACTTTTTTTTTAAATTTATTTTGACTTGTAAATTTCATTTTTGTTTAGTAAGATGCACTAAGCTATTAAGATTAACACTTGAATTGGTCTTGATGTTAGAAAAACTTTTTCTCTTAGGCTTTTGACTGAAGATGACTTCCAGCGCTTGTACTCTGTTGAGGAGGTCCATTTTTCTGACAAGGTCGGTTCTTTAAGTTGTCAATTAAAGGTTAATGCAGCCATTTTTAAATTAAGTTCCCCAAAAACAAACAAGAATACATTTATATACTGTAACTTATGAAATTTATTTGCATGAGAGTTGTCTCTATAATATATCTATTAATGTCATTTGTCTCCAGATTGTTGAAGTGCTTAAAAATAAAAATGTCTCGGTCCTGTTGACCCTGGTGAGTCTTTAATATCTGCAGTAGTTTATTATATATTAATAAGATATTTCAGAAAAAACTATTCCTTTTTTAAATAACAGCAGACCTACCATTATGACCTTTTCTTTGAAGGAATTACTGTGGGTGGAAATGTTATGACCTTCTTCTTTAAGGATGTTTGGTGTGTATCAAGATAGCTGCAGCAATTCTTTATTATCACGGCAACTATCAGTTCACAAAATCTCCTCCTTTAAAACTTCACTGCACTGACTCCTATCCTAAGACCACTCTTGTCTCACTGACCAACCACCAACTTGTACCTTTTTATGCTATCTTGATAACTCAACATACTGACAATAACTGAACTCCACAAACTGACCTTGCATCACCTGACCTATGACCGCTTGCCCTCCCAAAATCTCTCACATCTCATGATCAACATCTGTCATAAACAAACAATCACGCTTCCAATTCCAGTTCATAACGCTAAGCAGAATTAGAAATATAACAAGGTAGTAGTAATAAGACAAGTAACAACATATAAAGAGGGACTTAGCATATAAAAGTATCAACAAAAGTTTTTTCTATATATTTTAAAAATGCTTTTAAATTCTTTTCCAAAATTTATAAAAATGTTCACTATTCTGGTAACACCTTTATGTTCTTCTTTTCATTGAAAGATGTTTTTCTTTAAACAATGCTTAACTGGGTTAAATCAGAACAGAGAATGATTTTACCCGATTTCAGCTGTCCTGCTTCAAATTCTAAATTTTTAAATTTTTTATTTTAAAGTTTTATATTTTGTTTATTTCAGCATGGTCTGAACACAGACAGTGGTAAATACAGCAAAGAGGCAGTCTTTGAAGGCATTGGAGAGTAAGCAATTTAAGGACTAAAGTAATTTGGAAAGATAGTTTCTACCAGTGACATGACATTTATAAACATTTAGTTTAGTTTATTGTCCTGAAATAGTTATTTTTTTTAAGACCGCTGAAGATTTATTTGTTCATTTGGCTTTAGCAGTTGGTAGATTTTTAAAAAGATACAGATAAATATATTATTTACTGAATCAACCTTATGCTTATCTTTCTGTTTCTACCATTTAATCCTTCTCCATTAAAATTGATACAAATTTCAGATTCACTGTCAACAACGAGATTCTTCATCCTGAAATTACAGAATGGTAAGGTTCAGAATAGCCAAGCAAGAGATGAAATTAATGTAGAAATCAGCAGAGTTTCTGTTCCTTAGCTATTTTTTCACATTTTGTAAAGTTGTGATGACAGTGAAGTGACCCTAGAAGGGTATTAATTATGACCCACATTTTGAGGAGTTTTTCTCATAAATTATAAATTAAAAAGAAAAATATTTGTTAGACAATGTGTATCAGTAATATATTTGTATTAACATTTTCAACTTAGGATGATTATTTTATAAATATTGAAATATTGTGTATTTCAGTCGTGTGTTTAAGAGTGACCTTGAACTTCAAGCCCTAAGATATGCCAATAAAATCAGCAGTGAAGCTCACATTGAGGTTAGTTTTCTTAGAAATGTAACTGAAGTGTTTCATAAAACGCAAATCGCTGTGGAATTTCTGGAATCTTTTTATGTTTACTCCAAAGCCAGTGTTTTTATTCATATGGCATATCATGATCTATAAATGTTTGATATTTCAGGTCATGAAGAATGTTCGCCCTGGAATGTTTGAATACCAAGCAGAGAGGTTCATTGGTTTTTTTTTGGTTCATTTAAATAATCCGAATTTTTTAATGTCTTTATCTATTTTCAAATCTGTACTAGTTCAAATCAGTTTTCATGTAATGTTCTATTCTTCATAACTTATTTTATTTTATGTTATATCATATCATATTTGATTAACTATTTCCTTGAGATTTTACTTTGTTAAAAATTAAATATGATAATAAATAAGCATATTTTTTTCTTTCAACAGTATATTCCATCATTATTGTCGTTACACAGGCGGTCTCCGAATGCTCTCTTACACTTGCATTTGTGGGAGGTAAAAAATGATGTCCAATTTTTCTTATTGTTTTTTTTAAGAAACTTTCTTGGTCCCATTTGCTAGACACTTAAACTCTAAACACTTTATCCAGCCATTATTTATGATTGTGCATTGTTCATAGACATAAATAATCAAACAATTGTAATTAACATCTGCAAGTTCAAAGGGAGACAATATTGATTGCAATCAGGTAGGGTCATCTAATTTGCATTGCATTGTTTGTTTTTTTGTTAGTTTCACATTTTTCTATATATAATATAAATTCACTCATAGTGGGAAAAGTCATGGACATTAGAATAACTCACTATTAAATTTCTGGTTTAATAAGCAATATAGCATTATTATTTTTATTTCAACATTTGTAAACCGGTAATTTTTTTTTTTTTTTTAAATATCAGAAATTAATTTTTAAATATTCAGTTTTCTTTGATCTTAATTTTACTTTTCAGTGGTCACAATGGATCAGTCCTACATTATGGCCATGCTGGGGCTCCCAACTCCAAAGAAATTCAAAATGGTGACATGTGGTAAGTTTCAGTTCCTACTGGTTAATGGTCAGTTCCTTAAAAAAAATATTGGACATAAAACAGAAAATGCTTGCATCTGAGCATTTCATTTTCTTCTGAGATCTGGGATTATTTCATTTCTGAGTGGAGATCATGCTATATTCATATAACTTTATGACAATGACATAAACACTTGCCTGTTACTTGATGACATAAACACTTGCCTGTTACTTGATGACATAAACACTTGCCTGTTACTTGATGACATAAACACTTGCCTGTTACTTGATGACAGTTGAACACAGTTACAGATATTAAGGTTTGTATACCTTCCCCCAGTTTGTTTGACATGGGTGGAGAGTACTACTGCTATGCTTCAGACATCACATGTTCCTTCCCAGCCAATGGAAAGTTTACAGCTGATCAGAAGGCCATTTATGAAGCTGTACTTGCCTCCAGTCGGGCTGTCATCGCTGCTATAAGGCCAGGTCACAAATTTAATCAGAAAATTAAATATTTATCAAATTATTTATGGCGTTATTTTTTAAATATAATTCTTTATTAAACAGATACTTGACTGTAAACCAGCAAAGCATTTAAAGACACTGTCTGATAATGGCAATGATGTAATTTCACAAAATTGGTCAGATACGTCTGACAATGTACAAAGTAATGATTGTTTACTATTTGACTGTTATTTTATCCAGGAGTGAGCTGGCTGGACATGCATCTACTGGCAGAACGTGTGCTTCTGGAGCATCTCGTACGGCTCGGAATTCTTCAAGGAGACATTGAGGAAATGATGCGCGTGAGGCTGGCTGCTGTCTTCATGCCTCATGGTCTCGGACATTTTCTTGGTGTGGACACACATGACTGTGGTGGTTACCCCCAGGTAAGGTCTAGTCCAATGTTACAGGTAATACAGGGCTAATGTCCACAGCTAATACATTAGTGGTTACCCCCAGGTAAGTTGTAGTCCAATGTTACTCTCAAAACAAACCTCTCCCTCCATTCACTCCTTCTTCTATATCTATTGGCAACTCTGACATTACACTCTCTCCCTCTGCCAGAAACCTTGGAGTCACGCTTACGGACACCCTCTCCATGGAGAAACATGTCACGAATATATGCAGATCAGCATATAACGAAATTAGAAAAATCAGCACCATTAGACACCTCCTCTCCTTTGATGCCACAAAAACTCTCGTCTCTTCACTCATTCTTTCAAAATTTGACTACTGTAACATTCTTCTCTCAGGCATTCCTCAACACCACATAGAAAAACTTCAGAAGGCACAGAACTCAGCATGCAGACTCATTTTTAAATCAATGAAACATGACCACATTCAACCACACATGCGGCAACTCCACTGGCTTCCAATATCCTCTCGCATCAAATACAAGTCTGCCAATCTTTGCTTCAACTCGTTCACTGACCCTCACTTTCCTGTCTATCTCTCTGAACTGTTGCTTCCTTACATCCCCACAAGACAACTACGTTCTTCCATTGACAGTAGAACCCTCTCAATCCCAAGAACTAAAACTAAGACCATCGGTGAACGCTCCTTCTGCTTCCATGGGCCCACGTTCTGGAACCAGCTCCCCTTCCATATACGTCATAGTGAAACCTCGTCCATTTTCAAAAAGTCCCTTAAAACTCATCTGTTTAGGTCCGCCTATGACCTGTGATGCACCCTCCTTGCCCTACCTCATTTTCTGTTTCGGGTTGATCCTGAAGTGTCAAAGTGTCCTCGTTTTATAGCCATTTTCATTGTTTCTATAGAAAAGTAGTTACTATCCTAGTGTCTCATTTGTATTTACTTAGTTTACATGTTTTAATAATTGTAAAGCGCTTAGAGCTTTATGATAAGCGCTATATAAAAATGCCTAAATAAATAAATAATACATGGCTAATGTCCACAGTTAATACATTGGTCAGTGTCCAATGATAATCCACTGGGTTAACTCCACAGATAATTCCCTAGCCAAGGTCCCCAGATAATGCACTGGCCAAGGTGCACAGATAATGCACTGGCCAATGTCTATGGATAATGCACTGGTCAACATGCATGGATAATGCACTGGGTAATCTCCACAGATAATGCACTGGCCAATGTCAACAGACAATGCACTTGGTGATCTACTCTTGTGCTTGATCAATAGAATAAATGTGTTACAGTATATTAGAATTTCATTTGCACATGTGTCAAGTCTTCTCCATATTTCAAGCTGCCTAGGATTAGTTCAATCTTAGCTGTTGCTCACCCTGGATGTGCACTTTGCTCACCCTGGATGTGCACTAGTTCAATCTTAGCTGTTGTTCACCCTGGATGTGCACTTTGCTCACCCTGGATGTGCACTTTGCTCACCCTGGATGTGCACTTTGCTCACCCTGGATGTGCACTTTGCTCACCCTGGATGTGCACTTTGCTCACCATGGATGTGCACTTTCCTTCACCCTGGATGTGCACTTTGCTCACCCTGGATGTGCACTTTGCTCACCCTGGATGTGCACTTTGCTCACCCTGGATGTGCACTTTGCTCACCCTGGATGTGCACTTTGCTCACCCTGGATGTGCACTTTGCTCACCCTGGATGTGCACTAGTTCAATCTTAGCTGTTGCTCACCCTGGATGTGCACTAGTTCAATCTTAGCTGTTGCTCACCCTGGATTCGCACTAGTTCAATCTTAGCTGTTTCTCCTCCTGGATGTGCACTTTAAAGTTTTTACCTTTTTTAAAAAAAATCTCTTGTCAAATTGAACCATGGCAAGTTTAAGCAATGTTGAATAAGAATAAATCTATCATTTGGATACGAGGAATATTTTGATTTTATCACTTGACCAGGGAACATCGCGGATTGATGAGCCAGGCTTGAGATCTCTACGCACAACTCGTACACTGGAACCACGTATGGTCATCACAATAGAACCAGGATGCTACTTCATGGATATTGTAAGTTCACGCCCAATTCATATAGATTGGAGAATATAGATTGGAGAATATAGATTGGAGAATATAGATTGGAGAATATAGATTGGAGAATATAACAAAATGTCAAGTTTTTCTTTCTTTTTGTTTTGTTTTTTTTTTGTTAGTGAGAAACCCTTTAGTTAGTGAGAAACCCTTTAGTTAGTGAGAAACCCTTTAGTTAGTGAGAAACCCTTTAGTTAGTGAGAAACCCTTTAGTTAGTGAGAAACCCTTTAGTTAGTGAGAAACCCTTTAGTTAGTGAGAAACCCTTTAGTTAGTGAGAAACCCTTTAGTTAGTGAGAAACCCTTTAGTTAGTGAGAAACCGTATAGTTAGTGAGAAACCCTTTAGTTAGTGAGAAACCCTTTAGTTAGTGAGAAACCCTTTAGTTAGTGAGAAACCCTTTAGTTAGTGAGAAACCCTTTAGATCATTTATTTTTCTACTCATAAAATAATTGAATTGTCAACTAGTATCTTTTAGTTGCTGGACAGAGCCTTATTCAACTATTATTATCTTTTAGTTGCTGGACAGAGCCTTATTCAACTATTATTATCTTTTAGTTGCTGGACAGAGCCTTATTCAACTATTATTATCTTTTAGTTGCTGGACAGAGCCTTATTCAACTATTATTATCTTTTAGTTGCTGGACAGATGAATGAAATAGCAAAACGAGATATGTGGAAGGTTAAGTAAGAGAACAGGACAAAAAACAAGGACGTTTCGGCATAAAGCGCTCTTCAGCTAACAGTAGAAATGAAAATATAACAAAGAACAGAGCACAGTAGAAACTCAAGAAGTATCCATTTGTGTCGTCGGAATCATGCAAAGACTCTATACCTTTCTCACAACTTCTTAGACTACGGCGTCTCTGCCAAATTGATGAGGAATTTTTGGAAAGAGCTGATGAAATGATGGATTTCTTCCGCTCTAGATCCTATCCTGAAACTACTCTTGTCTCAGTACTAGGTTTCATCAGCACTATCACACAAAAAGAGGCTTTCAAAACTCGTCAAAACAACAATGAAGATCGTACCAAACTTATACTAACCTACCACCCTTACAATTTAACTGCTAAAAAAGTATTCCTAAAAAATCATAGCATACTTCTTGCTGACCCCGATACCAACAGGGTTTTCTCATCCCCTCCACCGATTGTCTTTAAACAGGACGAAAATCTAGGTGATCTTCTGGTTCATAGTCGCCTTCGATCTGAACCGGCTTACGTTGGTACTAAACCATGCTTAAGAGGCCGCTGCAGAACTTGTCCCTTTATTCTCCAAACTGAAAGCATTGGCCTCCCTAAAGGTACCTTTACCATTAAAGAGGGTTTCACCTGTGTCAGCCATAATGTAATATGCGATTGTGTGCCGTAGATGCCAATCTAGCTACATAGGTGAAACTGGGAGAAGATTGGGTGATAGGTTTACTGAACATCTAGGGGATATTGAGCAATGTAAACCTTTCTTTCAACAGAAAAGAACAGAAAGGTGCATTGGATGTAACTCTTACGGCACTGATTTCATGCAGTAACACACTGGAGAGGGTTAAAATGGAAAATACATTTATCCAGCTGTTGGGCACCATATCTCCATATGGTATTAACCAAATACTATCCTACTAATGTTTCTCTGTTTCCCTGTATTTCATCTATTTTCTTATTGCTGTGTGTTGATGTATCCCTGGATATTCTGGTCCATTATTATTGTGGACTTCATTTTTCACAGTGTCAATATTTATATTCTCTCGCTTCCTGTGTTCCCACTTCTGGCGACACGAATGGATACTCCTTGAGTTGTCTACTGTGCTCTGTTCTTTGTTATATTTTCATTTCTACTGTTGGCTGGGGAAAGCTTTATGCCGAAACGTCCTTGTTTTTTGTCCTGTTATCTTACTCTAGCTTCCACATACCTCGTTTTTCTATTTCATTCATTTACTAAGCTTGAATGCAGTCCTTTAATTTATATTTACTGGACAGAGCCTTATTTAACTATTATCATCTTTTAGTTACTGGACAGAGCCTTGAAAGATGAGCGCCATCAACAGTTTATTGTTCCTGAAGTTTTGAGGCGATTCAGAGGATTTGGCGGGGTAACTGTTCATGTGTCCCTGTGGAATGATGTTATCATTGCTTATTTGGCGGGGTAACTGTTAATGTATCCCTGTGGCATGATGTTTTCATTGCTTATTTGGCGGGGTAACTGTTGATGTGTCCCTGTGGAATGATGTTATCATTGCTTATTTGGCAAGGTAACTGTTGATGTGTCCCTGTGGAATGATGTTATCATTGCTTATTTGGCGGGGTAACTGTTGATGTGTCCCTGTGGAATGATGTTCTCATTGCTTGCTGTACAGTTATGAGTGCCAACATTCTAAATATTCCTTTTTTACAAAAAAAATTATTCTTCATTCTTTTATCTCAACTTATCAGTGTATGTGAATCTAATGTGAATCAAAATTTCTCTTCTTTTTTGGGTGTGTATAATGTTGTGTGGTGGAGAGTGGCATCCTCCAGTTCCAATGTTGTGTGGTGGAGAGTGGCATCCTCCAGTTCCAATGTTGTGTGGTGGAGAGTTGAATCCTCCAATTCCAATGTTGTGTTACTCCCAAGACATTTTTTGATGTACAGTTATTTTGCAGATATTCCAATGAGAATCGACCTACAGTTTAGTTGCACACAGTCCAATGTTGTGCCCCTCCCATGAGGACTGACCTACAGTTTAAGTACTACCAGTCCAATGTTGTGCCTCTCCCATGAGGACTGACCTACAGTTTAAGTACTACCAGTCCAATGTTGTGTCCCTCCCATGAGGACTGACCTACAGTTTAAGTACTACCAGTCCAATGTTGTGCCACTCACATGAGGTCTGACCAACAGTTTAAATACTACCAGTCCAATGTTGTGCCACTCCCATGAGGACTGACCTACAGTTTAAGTACTACCTGTCCAATGTTGTGTCCCTCCCATGAGGACTGACCTACAGTTTAAGTACTACCAGTCCAATGTTGTGCCACTCCCATGAGGTCTGACCAACAGTTTAAATACTACCAGTCCAATGTTTCCATCTTCTTGTCTTTTCAATAGTTTATCCTTCATCTCATCGTCATTTTAATGTTAATGGAAGAAAAATTTATTGTTAATTTTTTTTAAATTATTTTTTGTTGCCATAATGAAGCAGACAATGACTACCATGGACATATTGTATCTTTTTAGGTGAGAATTGAGGACGACATTGCGGTAACTGACAGTGGTTTGGAGCTGCTCACGACTGTGCCCAGGGCAGTGGAGGAAATAGAAAGGGTTATGGCAGAAGGGAGACAATCTCACCAGCCTTTGCCTCAGTCCAGGACCTGCTGTTAACAACAATGAAAATTTAAAGGGTCAAGAATTAATGCCCTTCCTTCTTTCTCTGATTAGGTTCAGTGAAATATTCATGTTGTTTTTTTGCTAGAACTGCTGGTAATTGACTAACTGATACCAAAATAAAATAGTAAAGCTACTTTTTGCCTCTCATTATGTTCAGCAAAACATATCAAACATTTTCCATTTGTTAGAACTGCTGGTAATTAAATAAATGAGAATAAAATAAGTATAGCAATACTAGCACATGCAATCATGATGTAGAACACAATCAAATAGATATATTATTAAGATTATGATTTAATGTTTTTTTTAACTCTCAGAGAATATGAAATATTTATCTGGTAATGGAAAATTCTTAGTGTGATATTAACTTATCGTAAAATAATTAATATGACATTTTAAGGGAAATTCTAGATTTTAGCTGTTTTTTTTTTTTTAAATAAATCTTATATGCTATGGAAGTAATTTCAATAACGTCACTAATCAGTATTGAAAGTGTTTCCCCTAAGTTATCCAGAAATCTTGAGAAAGTTATTGTTTTTGTTTGCCATTCCAAGAATTTGTTTATATAACGAGCCACCCTAACCCCGTTTCTTCATAATTTGCTTAAAAAATTATTATTTTTTTAAAAAAGATTTCTTTAATTATATTTAACCAGTCTTTTCTTTGATAGATGATGTTTTTAATTTTTCAATAGCCTGAAGTCATTTTGATGATATACCATATTCCTTCTATCTAGAAGTGGACCAAATATTGACTCATTTGTAATTCAGAGACGCATTGATTCATTGATTGTAAACAATTTAATTTTGTTGACCTGCCCCTAGTCATCAATGATGAATGTAATATTAATGACAAACTTGGCTACTTATATAACCTCACGAGTCAAGGATATTGCCTTACAACCAACAGCAAGTCATGGGTGAGTGACAGCCGAGTGACAGCCAATCCACAAAAGATGTATTCACCCTAAAAAAAAATCAGGCTCAGCCCATCTATAGTTCCTCATTGGTGTCGGCAGTAGACATATAATTGATATACATGTGATGGATTTGAGATGTACTTAGGAAGTCTATGTGATGCTATGTAATGTAGGGATCTACGTAATGTGTACATAATGTTTTTGTGATGTGTCACTGCTCGTATTGCCTTATTATAATTTAAATGAAAACTTTTTTAGGGTTTGACCTATCTATGCCAGGTAATCCAATTATTTGTGACTGAATAAACATATTTGATTAACTCCCCTGGGTTCCCTCATTTTTTTGTGTTTTGGTATTTGGATAAGATTTGATGTCTATGTTTGGATTAGGTGGGTTGTCTATGTTTGGATTAGGTGGGTTGTCTGTTTGGATTAGGTGGGTTGTCTATGTTGGGATTTGGTGGGTTGTCTGTTTGGAGTAGGTGGGTTGTCTATGTTTGGATTTGGTGGGTTGTCTATGTTGGGATTTGGTGGGTTGTCTATGTTGGGATTAGGTGGGTTGTCTATGTTTGGATTTGGTGGGTTGTCTGTTGGGATTTGGTGTATTGTCTATGTTGGGATTTGGTGGGTTGTCTATGTTTGGATTTGGTGGGTTGTCTATGTTTGGATTAGGTGGGTTGTCTATGTTTGGTTTAGATGATGGGTGGTCGATGTTGGGATTTATATGGGTCACGTGGGTGGTCTATGTTTGGATTAGATGGGTGGTCTGTGTTTGCATGAGATTGCAGCTATAAATTGTGAATTTTGGCGGAGGCCATCCACATAAGATAGACTAAAATTTTATTCTGTTTTTTCTGTTGTTTGTTCGCCGACAAAGGCTTCCTGCCGATACATTCGTTGTTTTCTGCATTCCTTTTTTCAGATTTAACCTTTCTTTGTTATACTCATTTCCTACTGATTTGAGAACCATTGTATAATAGGATGTGTGTTGATGAATAGAAACATTTCCCATGAGTCAAACATGCAACCACTGACATAGCACACAGTTAGGGTTGGTCAAACATGCAACCACTGACATAGCACACAGTTAGGGTTGGTCAAACATGCAACCACTGACATAGCACACAGTTAGGGTTAGTTGTGTTTGTTTGGAACAACTTTTCACAACACGCTGACTACCCACGGGTTGACCCTGTGATAGCCACTGACTACCGACGGGTTGACCCTGTGACAGCCACTGACTACCGACGGGTTGACCCTGTGACAGCCACTGACTACCGACGGGTCAACCCTGTGACAGCCACTGACTACCCACGGGTTGACCCTGTGACGGCCACTGACTACCGACGGGTTGACCCTGTGACAGCCACTGACTACCGACGGGTCGACCCTGTGACAGCCACTGACTACCGACGGGTTTACCTTGTGACAGCCACTGACTACCGACGGGTTTACCTTGTGACAGCCACTGACTACCAACGGGTTTACCTTGTGACAGCCATTGACTACCGACGGGTCTACCCTGTGACAGCCACTGACTACCCACGGGTCGACCCTGTGACAGCCACTGACTACCGACGGATTTACCTTGTGACAGCCACTGACTACCGACGGGTCTACCTTGTGACAGCCACTGACTACCGACGGGTTTACCTTGTGACAGCCACTGACTACCGACGGGTTTACCTTGTGACAGCCACTGACTACCGACGGGTCGACCCTGTGACAGCCACTGACTACCGACGGGTTTACCTTGTGACAGCCACTGACTACCGACGGGTTTACCTTGTGACAGCCACTGACTACCGACGGGTTTACCTTGTGACAGCCATTGACTACCGACGGGTCGACCCTGTGACAGCCACTGACTACCCACGGGTCGACCCTGTGACAGCCACTGACTACCGACGGGTTTACCTTGTGACAGCCACTGACTACCAACGGGTCGACCCTGTGACAGCCACTGACTACCCACGGGTCGACCCTGTGACAGCCACTGACTACCGACGGGTTTACCTTGTGACAGCCACTGACTACCGACGGGTTTACCTTGTGACAGCCACTGACTACCGACGGGTTTACCTTGTGACAGCCACTGACTACCCACGGGTCGACCCTGTGACAGCCACTGACTACCGACGGATCGACCCTGTGACAGCCACTGACTACCGACGGGTTTACCTTGTGACAGCCACTGACTACCGACGGGTTTACCTTGTGACAGCCACTGACTACCCACGGGTCGACCCTGTGACAGCCACTGACTACAGACGGGTCGACCCTGTGACAGCCACTGACTACCCACGGGTCGACCCTGTGACAGCCACCACATTGCAGACGCTAACCACACAATCGATAGTTGGCATTACAGTGTCGATAAGCGTGGAACTAATCTGGACAGTAGGATAGCTTGGAATATGGTGTTTTTTTTTAATATTATATATGGATGGACATATATTATATATATATTATATATATATATATATATATATATAAATATATTTATATATATATATAAATATATGTATATATACATTTGAAAATCTGATAAATCTATATGTGGAGATTAATCACATGTGAAACACTGTCAAGACCACCCCCCCCCTTCTTTTCATTTCTATCCACGTTGTAATCCACCCTTCCCTACGTCCCACCGTGTCACATGGATGCCCTATACAACAAATATTGTCTCAGGGCATTGAAAGGACAATTACTCAGTGCATCAAAGATGATCCTCTTGATTGTGGTTTATCATTTGTGTGCGTTTGGTGCCTACGTANGGCATGGAAAGGAAAATTTCTCGGTGCATCAAAGGTGATCCTCTTGATTGTGGTTTATCATTTGTGTGGGTTTGGTGCCTACGTAAGCGCACGACCGGGGGGGGGGGCAGCGAATGAGAGGGCGGTGCGCAGTGTGGACGGTGTGCGATGTGGACGGTGTGCGATGTGGACGGTGTGCGATGTGGACGGTGTGCGATGTGGACGGTGTGCGATGTGGACGGCGTGCGATGAGAGAGGGGTAGACATGAACGATCCACTCGGGAATTTAAAGATAATTAATATCAATGTTTCCCCCCCCCCTTGCACACCATCAAGATGTTTTCACATCCTACCACTCCCCCACACCCGGATGTGTGTTGTACTGCACCGAGCTGGCACCAAATTGTTTCATTACTGACCGGGTGGTGTTAAAAGTGGTGATGCCAAAGAGAAAAGACCGAAAAGCAAAATCTCTATAAGTTGGAGACTACATACGGTAAACATTTCTACCAACTGGAGACGAAATACGGTAAACATCTCTGCCAGTTGGAGACTACATTCATCTAGACAAAAATCTTGAAATTGGACGTTGTTGAATGGCGGACTTCGAGAGCCTGGTGCTCAACGTGGCGCGTGTTTACGTGGCTGCTGTTCTGCTCACCTGGTGTCCAATTGTCCACATGGACGTCAACAAGGACACCTTTCACCTGTGCGTTTATGGCGACAACTTTGGCAGAAGAAGCGGCCAGTTCTGCTACGTGTTCCTGTTCAAACAAGACTACGAGAAGCCCTTCAGGTGGGCGGAGGCCGTGAACTTCTGCCGGCATGTTGGCATTCTGGCCGAGGACTTTCTTTTGAGTGACCTCAATTTTCTGCCAGGGAAACCAGATAAGAAAGAAGCTTTCACCGGGTTAGTATCGGTGGTGTGTTTATACTAGCAGCTTTACCCGTGCTCTGGGAGTGCCGGTAGTTAGATAATTAAATATTTCAATGAATCCATAAGGGAGCGGAAATTTACGATAACACTGTCCGCGAGTATAAATTTCCCCACAGTCTCCACACAGACCCTCACAGTCTTCACACAGATCATCACAGTCTCCACACAGACCCCCACAGTCTCCACACAGACCCTCACAATCTCCACACAGACCCTCACAGTCTTCACACAGACCCTCACACTCTCCACACAGATTCTCACAGTCTTCACACAGATCCTCACAGTCTCCACACAGACCCTCACAATCTCCACACAGACCCTCACAGTCTCCACACAGATCCTCACAGTCTCCACAAAGATCCTCACACTCTCCATACGGATCCTCTCATCTCGCGAACCACAACGTAATTCTCCGTCTAAACACCGAACCAGAAAAAAAAATATTAAAAAAGAGCAATAAAACTAGTTCTCATTAAATGAAAGGTATGCTGGTTGTCACCAAACATTGTTTTTTATATGTGACACTGACACACATGACCAATGACATAATAAGTCCATGGCTCCAGATACACTTACACATGACCAATGACATAATAAGTCCATGGCTCCAGATACACTTTAGTCTTTTGGGATCAGTACCAGGGGCGTCATTTGGGTAGAGCAGGGTGGGGCATTTGCCCTCCCCCTGAATTTACAGGTTTATTCAAATTGCTGTGTACCGTGGCGCCTCCAGTCAAAAGCAACTGAACAAGCTGACCAAGTTTGGGGTTTGCGATCTGTACTATCGCAATTTACGCAAATTCGGAAAAAAAAAACATATGGGCTTAGTGTCCCACTATATTGGAGTTAACGCCCTACCACCTCCCCTTGTTTGGTCCCCTCGGGTTTTGAAACTCTTCATATTTAAATATTTTTTTTTTCGCCTTGATACTCTTCATATTTAAATATATTTTTTTTCTCCTTGGAACTCTTTATGGTTAGCTTACATTTAATACTTGATTTAAAAAAAAAATAAAAATTGTTAATTAACACCATTGTCATTAATTGTATTCCAATTTAAGAATCCGAACCTAAGTTCTAAACCAAATTATTTAATTATTCTTATGCCCCCCCCTACCTTTTTTTCTCCAAAGATTTAGGTCAAACGAGATTTATTTTAGGATGAAAATGAGTGAGCAATGAATCCAATACACGGTTGCTAGTTTGCTCATTAATAGGACCAGTTTTTGAACACATACTGTGTTGTACACATTATAGGATCCAGCATCTAACATATGTACGTTTACATTCTAGGCTCAAGACCCAAGAGAGCCGTTGTCATGGCAACGTGACCAACTTTGACGAATGCCTTGTCGTCTGCAAGATCGCGACGTGCCCCCAGGGGACCTTCGACCCACCCAAGTGTCTGTCCACCTGTCAGTGCAAGCAGCTGGAATACTGTGACGTCATAACCGGTGCATGCAAGAATGAAAAATGCTCAGCCGGGTTCTACGGTCCGCCATTCTGCTGGCAAAGCTGCAGCTGCTTGCATGACGTCACTTGCGATGCCGTGGATGGCTTCTGTCCGTTCGGCTGTAAACAAGGCTGGACCGGCACAGACTGCAAGACTAGACGGTGCCCTCTGGGTTTCGCCGGTCCCCCAAAATGTGACCACAAGTGCCACTGTGAGAAAGATAAGGACTGTGACGTCATGTCCGGGTCGTGCGAACATGGCTGCGCCGACGGCTGGAGCGGGATAAACTGCTCCAAACCGTGCCAGGCTGGGGCAGACAACTGCGGGAGTTGTTTTTGCTCAGATCCCAACTGCAAGGACCCACCTGGTGTGTGTAAGTGTGATCCGGGCTGGGGAGGGAAGCTCTGCACTAACAGAAAATGTCCCATCGGAACGTTTGGCCCCCCGGACTGTCAGCAGACGTGCCATTGTGAGGACGACCGGTTCTGCGGCCCATCTGACGGACACTGTCACGGGACACCCTGCGAAGATCGCTGGCTGGGAACCAACTGCCAGGATCGAGCCTGCGATCCCGGATATTTCGGCCCTCCGCTGTGCCTGTTCAGGTGCCACTGCGCCAACGACACGTGCGACCACAAAGACGGAATCTGCGCGCAGGGTTGCAAGCAGGGTTGGCATGGCAACCACTGCAACGTCCGCCTGTGTCCCGAAGGCACCTTCGGGATGCCCAGGTGCGACCGGGCGTGCAGGTGTCTGTCCAACCTGTCCTGCAACGCGGTGACGGGGGGGTGCGAGGGTGGGGCGTGCCTGGGTCAGTTCACGGGGTCCCACTGCAACATCAGTGCGCCAAACACCCCCTTTGCCAGCCGCTATCGGACGCACTCGAAGCCCAGCGACATCGTCACCCCGTTCGTTGTCGTGCTGGCCATTGCTGGGGGTTGGTTCGGCTTCACCGTGTGTGTCCCGCCTGCTCGGGGCAAGCGGGGTGAGATGAAGAGCCCGGATGTTCCGAGGCAAGAAACAGACGGACCAGTGTCTACCGCAGGCGGGATGCCTCTATCAAACGCTGACAGGCCCCAGTCTTCACAAAAGAGCTGAGGTGGGTTTTTTTTGTTTTTTTTTAAAGAGATGGCCGTTGAGTTAAGACAGTTATGGTTATGTCCAGCAGTTAAAAAAGGGCTGCCAACAGTGACAAGTCACGTTCAGTGGTTTAAAAAGTGGCGTGCTAAAAGTGAAAGGTCATGTCGAGTTGGCTAAAGAGGATGACCATAATAGTGAAAACACGATAAGTTGACCTGCTCATTTTATTCAATACAAACCAACATTGGGATAGATGCCAGGGCTTGAAAGCACTCAATTCCATGCCATCTGATTTCGAACATTGGACATCCCGTTCTTTCTAGTTAGGTTTTCTATTAGAACATTACAAGGAGAAGAGGGTCGCCCCTCCCCCCCCCCCCCATTTGAGTTTACAATAGTCAAATACCTGACCCACGTGACCTAAACTGATGAGTTAAACGAGCTACAAAGAGAAGGCAACGATTGGCTGAGATGAGTGCAGAGAAAGCAATGATTGGCTGAGATGAGTGCAGAGAAGGCAATGATTGGCTGAGATGAGTGCAGAGAAGGCAACGATTGGCTGAGATGAGTGCAGAGAAGGCAACGATTGGCTGAGATGAGTGCAGAGAAGGCAACGATTGGCTGAGAGGAGTGCAGAGAAGGCAATGATTGGCTGAGATGAGTGCAGAGAAGGCAACGATTGGCTGAGATGAGTGCAGAGAAGGCAACGATTGGCTGAGATGAGTGCAGAGAAGGCAACGATTGGCTGACAGCACGTACAGCCTTGAGGTGTGTTGTAGTAACGCGTGGAACTGATCAGATACTGGAAATGATCTGACAGTTATGGATTAGAATATGAACATTTCAACTAACAGTCTTCTGTGCGCTTTCATTATCAATAACCTTTTCAGCAGTTTGATGAGATTGTTCATCCATAATACAACGTACAGTTTTGTTATGTTTGTTTGTTGTTGTTGTTTTTTTGGTGGTGGGGGGTGGTTAATTTGCATATCGTTTGAGAAGTGGTATCACTGAATGCTTGGTGACACTTGGGTGGGTAGAGGGAGGGGGCAAACGCTGCTAAATGTGGGTGGTGGAGGGAGGGGGCAAACTCTTCTAAATGTGGGTGGTGGAGGGAGGGGGCATACTCTGCTAAATGTGGGTGGGTGGGTGGAGGGAGGGGGCAAACTCTGCTAAATGTGGGTGGAGGGTGGAGGGAGGGGGCAAACTTTGCTAAATGTGGGTGGAGGGTGGAGGGAGGGAGCAAACTCTGCTAAATGTGGGTGGGTGGAGGGAGGGAGGAGGCAAACTCTGCTAAATATGGGTGGAGGGAGGGGGCAAACTTTGCTAAATGTGGGTGGGTGGAGGGAGGGAGGGGGCAAACTCTGCTAAATGTGGGTGGTGGAGGGAGCAAACTCTGCCAAATGTTGTGTCATTGAGAGAAACCATCGTGTTTAATGAGTAGTCTGCTTCCCCACCTAACCCATCTATCTTCTTTCTCTTGCTCCAAAATGTGTGCGATTTAAAGGGGAAGTGATTGGGGGGGGGCGGGGGCAATTCAGTCCTGTACCCTGATAACAATAATACAGGAGAACAATAAAACAACCAACAACCGTCATTTGACATAGCGCTAAGAAAACTAAAGCCACGTGATTTCTGGAAATGTTGGAACAGCCAACAGTCTTGCGCCCTGGTAATCCCACCTCACTAAAGCGCCCGCCCCCTTACCGCTGGCACCCACCCCCTGGATCCGCCGGTGAATGTATATAACCGAGTACAGATCTTATCAGACGCAGTGAGTGTTGTACCGAGTACAGATCTTATCAGTCGCAGTGAGTGTTGTACAGAGTACAGATCTTATTAGTCGCAGTGAGTGTTGTACCGAGTACAGATCTTATGAGTCGCAGTGAGTGTTGTACCGAGTAGGCTACAGATCTTATCAGACGCAGCGAGTGTAGTACGGGGGCCTCCTGCCGTGTACAGCCAAGTAACAACATTGATCCCAAGGGACGGCGCGTGCCTCACTCAGTCAATACATTGAACAAGCCATCGTCGTCATAAGTGGCTGTGTGTGGGGGATGGGATGGTCTGTGTACGCAGTTGGATGGCCTCTGTGTAAGTGTGTGTGTGTGGGGTGGGGGGTGAGGATGTAGGGGAGTGGCCTTGAAGAAATCGACCACAACGAAGAGACAGCACGGCACCTGCTAAGTGACGGATTCTATCTCGTCCCAACACAATACTGGAACTTCTAATTGACATCTAGTTGACATCTAGTTCGCATCTACTGTTACACCAGCTTGATCTCAACCGGATGTCAACACTAACAGCGGCGAGCTTTATCTCTTGACATGGTTTCAATGAAGAATTAGAAGCTAGATGCGTCCCACTGCTGTCCATGACATTCAGCCGTGTGATGACATTTGATGTCAGCGGGCGTCACGAGAGATTAGCGCACGTGTCGGCTGCTGGTGTTGATGCCATCACAAGCTGGGGACCCACCTGAGGCTGCGACGTAACAAGATGGTGCAGGTGGAGACCAATGACAGAAATAGCATTGCAGGTCTGTCAGCCATTCTTAGTGCTATCTAAATCATTTATACATTATGTGGCAATGTGCCACTATATAAGAGAATCCACTCTCATAGTGTCACTGCTATGGGTAACCCCAAGCACGTACACATCCATTATCCATGGTCATTCAACGTAACACTCAGCCGTGTACTGGCCTTAAATTTTATGTAGGTTATTTAGACGCGGGAATAACCATCCCTGCTACGGGGTTGACCCATGGTCAGCTCGGACGCGGGTTCCCTGTGACTGTGTGTGTGTGGGAGGGGGGGCGAACTGGGACTTGAGGTGTGTACATTTTTGAGATTGTGGTGTGGAACGGATGCGTCGGGTCGGCGTCAGGTGTGAGAGATTTTTCCTGTCGGCTCTGTCAACGGATTGTACCTTACATTAAAAAGCTATAGTTCTCAGACCTGATTGTTTTATTGTGATTTCATTTAAACTGTAAGCTACGTCACCACTCGGCTACAGATTTTGGCGCTGCGAGCAGGGTCAATTTACACTACTACAGTGTTTTGGCGTTGTCACCTAAGTCAACCCTAAACCACCACACTACTACAGTTTTTGGCGCTGCGAGCAGGGTCAATTTACACTACTACAGTGTTTTGGCGTTGTCACCTAAGTCAACCCTAAACCACCACTCTACTACAATTATATTGTTTCACTATATATTAAAAGAGATCTTACATTTTATTTATTTCGTGTCAACCTGTCATATGGCAGGTACTGTGACAATTATACAAATAATTTTCTAATATAATTATATATATCTGTGAAAACAGCCAGTTTATCAACATGTTAAATAATAATAAATAATAATACCAAAGTTCATTTCAAAAACACGCTTCATCCCCAAAGGCTCGAAGCGCGGTACAAAGTCAACAAAAAACAAATCTAGAATTGACCACATTTAAAACAAACGCAACACTCCACAAACTCATTACAAGCATACAGTGTCATCTTAAAGCTGCGTTTCTCAAACTTTTAAGTTTGATGGACCACTGGCGGAAACGTTTTGAAATTGCGCCAGAGATTGGTGCCAGATTTATTAATAACATTCTCTTTTTATTCGACCATAAATATTCATGTTGTGTGGACCGGCAATGAAAGGCTCGCGGACCGGGGCCGGTCCGTGGACCACCATTTGAGTTTTGAGAAACAATGGTTTAAAGGAGGCCTGCACAACTCAAAATGTAAGGCGGGCCGTAAAACTTTATGAAAAACGTTTGCGGGCCAAAAAAATAATTGAACAGGGGGGATAGCTATTAAGAAAATAAAAAGAATAAAGAATATTTCGTTACTTTGCGGGTCGCAAAGTGGGTGCTGGCGGGCCACATGCGGTCCGCGGGCCGTATGTTGTGCAGGCTTGGTTTAAAGCATTGCCATTCAATATGAATAACTAACGGCACGACTTGAAAAATGAAATGGGCTTAACACAGAGATACAATAGAATGTATACCAAAGTGTTGTTTCTTGCTTTCACTTCCATCTGGTGTACAGATTTATTGAGTGATCCCATGGACAGCCAGCGCCCAGGTCCATCGCCTGCTCCACATTCGAAACTCTTGAAAACCTCCAGCAACGAGGGGAAGCAACTTATCAGCTATCATATCACACCCAAACCTCCACCGGAACCACTCCCATTCCCGCTGGGGCTCTTGGTCACGGTAGGTAGCGAGGGATGATGTCATTGACGACCATTGGACTGGTGGTGATGGGGTCAATGATGGCCGTCAGACTGGTGGTGATGGGGTCAATGATGGCCGTCAGACTGGTGGTGATGGGGTCAATGATGGACGCTAGACTGATGGTAGTGATGTGATGAGTGATGGATGCTAGACTGTTGTAGTGATGTGATGAGTGATGGACGCTAGACTGGTGGTAGTGATGTGATGCGTGATGGACGCTAGACTGATGGTAGTGATGTGATGAATGATGGACGCTAGACTGATGGTAGTGATGTGATGAGTGATGGACGCTAGACTGGTGGTAGTGATGTGATGAGTAATGGACGCTAGACTGATGGTAGTGATGTGATGAATGATGGACGCTAGACTGGTGGTAGTGATGTGATGAATGATGGACGCTAGACTGGTGGTAGTGATGTGCTGAGTGATGGACGCTAGACTGATGGTAGTGATGTGATGAGTGATGGAAGCTAGACTGGTGGTAGTGATGTGATGAGTAATGGACGCTAGACTGATGGTAGTGATGTGATGAATGATGGACGCTAGACTGGTGGTAGTGATGTGATGAATGATGGACGCTAGACTGGTGGTATTGATGTGCTGAGTGATGGACGCTAGACTGATGGTAGTGATGTGATGCATGATGGACGCTAGACTGATGGTAGTGATGTGCTGAATGATGGACGCTAGACTTTTGATGTCAATGGAGGATACTAGATAGGTGATTGACTAATGGATCAAGCGTTGACTCTAGACTCTGTGTGAGTCAAGTTGGCCAGCCCCCCACCCCCCATGAGTTAAAGAAGCCATAGAGTGCTAACTAACCAACTCGACTGTTTTGTCCCCTAGATCTGCTGTGGTGGCAACATGAAGTATCTTGTGTTCCCCACCCTGATGGCAGTCAGCCTCGGTCTGTTTCTGGCCTTCAGCCGGGCCGTCTCCTCCACAACGGCACTGATGGGTGCGTTTGGAATTACAGTAAAACTGTTGGTTGTTGTTGTTGTTGTTTAAATGTCGGTGATGACTTTCTTGTTACAGTATCACAAATTTGAATACCTTTCCATTTGCTGACGTCATCTATTTGTGGCTTTTGAAAAAGTTATGCTATGTTTCTCACGAAACAATCCAGCAAGTATCATTTATTCAAGTTAATTTGCTGTCATCTTAACAGTATGCAAACAAAATATACTACACCTACACTACCCAAGATATTCTGACATTTAGATTACAGCCAGTATCAGAACTTTAACCCCTTCTATTCCAACATGAAGGTTACAGTCAGTATCAGAACTTTAACCCCTTCTATTCCAACATGAAGGTTACAGCCAGTATCAGAACTTTAACCCCTTCTATTCCAACATGAAGGTTACAGTCAGTATCAGAACTTTAACCCCTTCTATTCCAACATGAAGGTTACAGTCAGTATCAGAACTTTAACCCCTTCTATTCCAACATGAAGGTTACAGTCAGTATCAGAACTTTAACCCCTTCTATTCCAACATGAAGGTTACAGTCAGTATCAGAACTTTAACCCCTTCTATTCCAACATGAAGGTTACAGTCAGTATCAGAACTTTAACCCCTTCTATTCCAACGCCTAGGTTACAGCCAGTATCAGAACAGTCGAGAGTTGAGTGAGGACGAGCCCAGCCTACCTAAGAGTCATCTGTTCTTTGGCTCCATGCTGAAAGACCATGCCGCCATGTTCCATGCCAGGCCGCAGATGTTTCAGCAGCAGCTGCTCATGCAACAGCAGCAACAACAACAGCAGCAGCAGCCGATTCCAGGTGGGGATGCATCAGAAAGCTGTGACTGTTCACGGTGTGAGGTGGACAACTCTTTCCTTGGGGTATGTATCAGTTGGTGGGCAGATTTCAATCTTCATGGGCATATTTCCATGTTAGTGGGGATATGTCCATGTTAGTAGGTTTAACATTTTGGCAGCACACCCAAATTGTTGAGTATGTCAATGTTTGTTAGGTATGTCAATGTTTGTTGGGTATGTCAATGTTTGTTGGGTATGTCAATGTTTGTTGGGTATGTCAATGTTTGTTGGGTATGTCAATGTTTGTTGGGTATGTCAATGTTTGTTGAGTATGTCAATGGTTGAGGGGGTATTTCAAAATTTTAAATGTATATTCATGTGTGTGGAATGAGGTATGTGGGATTTGTATGACTTGTGGGAGCTATCACAATGTGTCTTACTATGAAGTTTGCCCTGTTGAGACGATGGACTCAATAAGTCAACAGATTTTGAACCAAAATTCTCTAGGATAATACGAAGCAGTACCAGAGGTTGGTCAAGCACAGTTTCCAACACTTCTACGGCAAGCCCGAGCTGGCCGTCCAGATGGAAGCGTTCGTTCCTGGCAAACAGAAAATGTGGGCAATGAACCCCGTGTTCTACATCTCACCTGATCAAATCTGTGCAGACGATGGCAGCCCGTTGGCAGTCATCGTTGTCCACAGTCATCACCGGCACATGATTGAAAGAAATGTCGTGCGAGACACCTGGGGAGGCGTGGCTAAAGGGAGACCTTGGCCTCGGAGACAGGTGAGTTGACCTTTGGACTGGTTGGTGTATGTTTGTGACATGTTGGTATACGTTCTGAGAGCTTGGTGTATGTTTGTGACATGTAGGTTGGTGTATATTTGTGACATGTCTGTTGGTGTATATTTGTGACATGTCTGTTGGTGTATGTTTGTGACATGTCTGTTGGTGTATGTTTGTGACATGTCTGTTGGTGTATGTTTGTGACATGTCTGTTGGTGTATGTTTGTGACATGTCTGTTGGTGTATGTTTGTGACATGTCTGTTGGTGTATGTTTGTGACATGTCTGTTGGTGTATGTTTGTGACATGTCTGTTGGTGTATGTTTGTGACATGTCTGTTGGTGTATGTTTGTGACATGTCTGTTGGTGTATGTTTGTGACATGTCTGTTGGTGTATGTTTGTGACATGTCTGTTGGTGTATGTTTGTGACATGTCTGTTGGTGTATGTTTGTGACATGTCTGTTGGTGTATGTTTGTGACATGTCTGTTGGTGTATGTTTGTGACATGTATGTTGGTGTATGTTTGTGACATGTCTGTTGGTGTATGTTTGTGACATGTCTGTTGGTGTATGTTTGTGACATGTATGTTGGTGTATGTTTGTGACATGTCTGTTGGTGTATGTTTGTGACATGTCTGTTGGTGTATGTTTGTGACATGTCTGTTGGTGTATGTTTGTGACATGTCTGTTGGTGTGTTTGTGACATGTATGTTGGTGTATGTTTGTGACATGTATGTTGGTGTATGTTTGGTCAGGCTGAAGTGAAATAAAATGTTACTGTTCACTGAAAGACCTTATCAGTCAATTTACTAAAAGTTATTATTTTTTTTAATTTAGATTATAAGTTTTAAATAAAATATTTCAGCTGTCAAATTTGGTCATGTGACTATGTATAAAATCCTGGGTCTTCCATAATAATTTTTTGAATGGAGAATGCACATCATTTAGCAATGATTAATTTTGAGAATCATTTGAAATTAAATTAACTTACTGATTGTTATAAAGATGTACTCCCCATTAGCCTTTCCCATGAGATTATGTTATAAAGATGTCCTCCCCATTAGCCTTGCCCATGAGATTATTTTTTAAAGATGTCCTACCTTGTCCGTTAGATTATTAATAAAGATTTCCTACCCACTACTGTTGCCCATTCTATAGAGGCATTCAATTTATTAAATTTAGGAAGACCATTTTATTTTTTGTTAAAAATGTTTAACATTTTTTTAAAAGTGATAATGATAGCACAATTAATAATTGTTTGTTTTTACAAGTGCGTTTAAATATAGTAAATATGTCACCAAAAGTATTTCAAAAACATATTTATATACTCAAAGCATCAAAATTTACTTACCTTCTAGTGTCCCATATGGCTACGGATTAAACAAAATTATGTATTTCTCTGTTAGGGATTAAGTATGGTCTAATCTGTTGCAACTGTTTTGTTTGCTCCCCGGGGTAGATGGTGGCAGAGGTGAGGCTCATCTTTGTCTTAGAAGTCAGCGAGGACCCCATTGATAATGACTTGGCCACAAAGGAATCTGATAAGTATGGAGACATTGTCCTTGTGGATGTACAGGTGAGTGGTTGTAGATGTGCAGGTGAGTGGTTGTGTAGGTACAGGTGAGTGGTTGTGTAGGTACAGGTGAGTGGTTGTGTAGGTACAGGTGAGTGGTTGTGTAGGTACAGGTGAGTGGTTGTGTAGGTACAGGTGAGTGGTTGTGGATGTACAGGTGAGTTGTTGTGTAGGTACAGGTGAGTGGTTGTGTAGGTACAGGTGAGTGGTTGTGTAGGTACAGGTGAGTGGTTGTGGATGTACAGGTGAGTGGTTGTGGATGTACAGGTGAGTGGTTGTAGATGTACAGGTGAGTGGTTGTAGATGTACAGGTGAGTGGTTGTGGATGTACAGGTGAGTGGTTGTGGATGTACAGGTAAGTGGCTGTGTAGGTACAGGTGAGTGGTTGTGTAGGTACAGGTGAGTGGCTGTGTAGGTACAGGTGAGTTGACAAGAGAGGTCTACGCTTGATATCAAGTCTTGTCAAACTGGTCTACGCTTGATATCAAGTCTTGTCCAACAGTCACCCTTCCGTATCTGAATCATTCTGCAGTTATAAAATTGCAGACCCTTTACAGTACAGGGTAAAATGGATTCTGAAATAGGTTCAATTTTTCTCACAGGAAACAAGTCAGCCAGCGTCCAGGAAGGTGTTGTCTGGGTTTAAGTGGGTCTTACAGCACTGCACAGGTACTCAGTACATCATTAAGGTCAGTACATCATTAAGGTCAGTACATCATTAAGGTCAGTACATCATTAAGGTCAGTACATCATTAAGGTCAGTACATCATTAAGGTCAGTACATCATTAAGGTCAGTACATCATTAAGGTCAGTACATCATTAAGGTCAGTACATCATTAAGGTCAGTACATCATTAAGGTCAGTACATCATTAAGGTCAGTACATCATTAAGGTCAGTACATCATTAAGGTCAGTACATCATTAAGGTCAGTACATCATTAAGGTCAGTACATCATTAAGGTCAGTATGTCATTATGGCTAGTACATCACTAAGTTCATAATCATTAACATAGTTCATAAAGCCCATGATTCCTTCTCATAAAATAAGAGACCATATGACTACTTCATCAGTCGTCTCTTGTCAATTTTAATCTTCTCATCGGCAGGTTGAAGAGGACACATTTTTAGATGTGCCCCTCCTACTTAGTGTTTTAGCCAATCAGGACTTGACCAATATGATATTTGGACCAATTTTATTTGCTGAAACTGTCCAACGGCTGACAGCGGACGACAAAGTTCTGGTGTCAAAACAAGCTTATTTCCCCGAGTGGTACCCGCCTTATGCAAAGGTAAGAAAGCTTTCCCATTCAAAGGTTCAAGTTCATCTTTATCAACCTTTGTAAGGAATGTAGTTTTTTACTGCATAACTAATTCTTGCCTCAAAATTGAACAAATTTGTTGAAAAACAACTAAAGCTTAAACTTGTATTATCATAAAAAAAACAGGAAATAAATGATTATTATTATTATGATTATAGCTCCTGCTAGAACTATTATTTTAACACATGTTATCTATGCCTTAGGATTCTATCTAAGCCTTGTGACATTATCTGTCATCATTAGGATACTATCTAAGCCTTGTGACATTATCTGTCATCATTAGGATACTGTCTAAGCCTTGTGACATTATCTGTCATCATTAGGATACTGTCTAAGCCTTGTGACATTATCTGTCATCATTAGGATACTGTCTAAGCCTTGTGACATTATCTGTCATCATTAGGATACTGTCTAAGCCTTGTGACATTATCTGTCATCATTAGGATACTATCTAAGCCTTGTGACATTATCTGTCATCATTAGGATACTATCTAAGCCTTGTGACATTATCTGTCATCATTAGGATTCTATCTAAGCCTTGTGACATTATCTGTCATCATTAGGATTCTATCTAAGCCTTGTGACAGTATCTGTCATCATTAGGATACTATCTAAGCCTTGTGACATTATCTGTCATCATTAGGATACTATCTAAGCCTTGTGACATTATCTGTCATCATTAGGGAACTGTCTATGCCTTAGGATACTAATCTAAGCCTTGTGACATTATCTATCATCATTAGGGAACTGTCTATGCCTTAGGATACTATCTAAGCCTTGTGACATTATCTGTCATCATTAGGGAACTGTCTATGCCTTAGGATACTATCTAAGCCTTGTGACATTATCTGTCATCATTAGGGAACTGTCTATGCCTTGCCAACATCACTAGCCAAGCGGCTGTTGACCGTGGCAGAGTATCTGCCCTACGTTAGCACAGAAGATGCTTTCATAACTGGAATATTGGCTAAAGTCTTCGATGCTCGACACATCAACATCCCCGAGCACCTCTACGACACGCGGGTCAACAACAAACCAGAGTTGTGTGACTTTGTTTACAGAAAGAAAATGGTGGCCCACAAGGTCAACTCCGCCCTTGCCCGCGGCTTGTGGAGGAGAATGGAAAAAGCTGAAATGTGTGGATTGTATCCAGCAGAGGAGTAGCTACTAACTTGTGTGGGAAGAAATTTCAGAGGAGTAGCTGCAAACTTGTGTGGGAAGAGATTTCAGGGGAGTGGCTACTAACTTGTGTGGGGAAAGATTTCAGAAGAGTGGCTACTAACTTGTGTGGGAAAAGATTTCAGAAGAGTGGCTACTAACTTGTATGGGAAAAGATTTCAGAAGAGTGACTACTAACTTGTGTGGTTTATTGGGAAGAGATGTTAGAAAATAAATAGGGTAGCTTGTTTAGTTGATGGTAATGTTGTGCAACCTTGGGGGGTCTTCATTGTGACAAAATAATTCTTTTCAATGAGGATTTAAAAGGTCTTTGGACATATGTGCCAATGTAGCAGAGTTTTTGCAGGAATGAAAGTGTATGGAATGAAAGTGTATGGAATGAAAGAGTATAGAATGAAAGTGTATGGAATGAAAGTGTATAGAATGAATGTGTATAAAATGAATGTGTATAAAATGAAAGTGTATAGAATCAAAGTGTATAGAATGAAAGTGATGGAATGAAAGTGATGGAATGAAAGTGTATGGAATGAATGTGTATAAAATGAAAGTGTATGGAATGAAAGTGAATCGGATTGAAAGTGTATGGAATGAAAGTGTATAGAATGAAAGTGTATGGAATGAAAGTGTATAGAATGAATGTTTTAAAATGAAAGTGTATGGAATGAAAGTGTATGGAATGAAAGTGTATGGAATGAAAGTTATAGAATGAAAGTGTATGGAATGAAAGTGTATGGAATGAAAGTGTATAGAATAAACGTGTATAAAATCAGAACGGATTGCTTGTTTACTATTTAAATGCTCTTAGATTTTGTTGTTATTTTTATACATCTCACTAACTTGGTACTAAATAACCGTCAACTCATCACTAAACTATGTTATATTATATGCATACCTCTCTGACTTGGCATTGTCAAAATGAACTCATATTACATTATATTATATGTATAATTCACAGACTTGGTTGTGACAATGTCAATGAACTCATTCTCATTTATTTCAACATAAAAATGAAAACAGGACCACAAATGATGCACAAGTAAACATTTCTTTGAATTTCTAAAAAAGTGCTGTAATTTGATATGAGTTATGGTAACAATTGGCACTAACAGATGATAGATAACATTGGCACTAACAGATGATATGTGGTACAGTGGTTATAAGATAAATAAGAGAACCTCCTTTTGCTAAGGCACTTACAACATTTTTAATATTTAAATTGTTCACTTTTCAATTATTTCACTGAACAATTTTCTGGACACTTGTTCATTCAATTCCCAACAAGAAGACTTTGAACACTCAAATAATGGTGGAATTGATAGGGGCCATAAACCTCCTTGTTCAATGAACTAAGTAAACAACAAAATAACAGGAGAGTGAGTGAGTTCCCTTGACAAAGATTGGATACAACACAGCTGAGAAGACTTGCATTTATATACAATTGATGCAAAACATAAAAAGTTAACAATCAAAGCAAAGCTGACCAATAGAGAGCAGGGAATATTTAAAGCTTGACCAAAGCTGACCAATAGAGAGCAGGGAATATTTAAAGCTTGACCAAAGCTGACCAATAGAGAGCAGGGAATATTTAAAGCTTGACCAAAGCTGACCAATAGAGAGCAGGGAATATTTAAAGCTTGACCAAAGCTGACCAATAGAGAGCAGGGAATATTTAAAGCTTGACCAAAGCTGACCAATAGAGAGCAGGGAATATTTAAAGCTTGACCAAAGCTGACCAATAGAGAGCAGGGAATATTTAAAGCTTGACCTAAGCTGACCAATAGAGTGCAGGGAATATTTAAAGCTTGACCAAAGCTGACCAACAGAGAGCAGGGAATATTTAAAGCTTGACCAATGTTTCATCGGGAATGATATCAGTTCCATGATAAACAACAAAATTCAACACTGATACAGAGACGCACACACATTGCAAATGTCAACATTTAAAGCAGTATTTCAGTTGGCAATGTCAACCTGCAGTTCAATCATAACAACAATCTGAAGACAGTTTAAAAGATTTCTACAAAATTTAAAGACTTCTCCTGGTAGAGACCCAACCTGACTAATGCTTACTTTCATCAAAACAAGCCCATTGACCCCCATACAGCATAACCGGATATCTCAAGAGTTACTAAAATTTTAGAGTCATGGCATCAGTGACGAGTGCTGTGAACCGGTGCATTTAATGTCTATTTTTGACTTAAGTCTGATACAAAATGGGGACTTAAGTACGGCCACTCTGAACAAGACATGTAGTGTTAAGCCAAGTTATGCAGACATATTGAAGAGATAGTAAATTTAAAATTATATATCACACCCAGCAGAATGGGGCCAGTAAAAGCTTACAATAAGTAAGTAAAAAGCCTATAAAAAGAAACTAACATTATACAACAACTCTATCTATAGATGATTTAAAACATTTTTTCAAATCAGTTTTCATAAAAAAATATCAGACATGTAAAAAAAAATAATATATATATATATTTTTTACAGTTCACAAGAGTTGCAATATTTGACTAAAAAAATTCAATGCTAGACAACATCAGTTTACCTCTAGAAAGTCTTTCAGTTTGTCAGACTAACTGTTAGCACCAGTTTTTGTTTCTGTATCATTTCATGAATACAACTACAAAATCTTAATTGAAGTTTCTTATAGAAATAGAACACATTTTTGAATATCATGAATTATCACCCATTTAACAATTCTGCAAAAAGGATATGAAGACACAATGTGCCTAATGTACACGCTAAAGCTGTGATGGTTTCATAGGATGGCACAAATAATATTTTACCTCATTCCCAACACTTGCAATTAATTACGTCCTTGGAGGGATTAGACGGATGAGTCCTGGAGTGAAGCGACACACTTATATCATTTTTATTTTAAAATAGCAATGAAATCATGCATCTATGATGGTGTAATTTCAATAAAAAAACTTAGGTTTCTATCTTGCTTCACTTTCAATCTATGTTTTCTTTAGTACGGTGCATCTGTCTAGCATGTGTTCATCTGAGGGGACAAACATATAGTTTTTGGGCATTGCTTGTTATTTGTTCCCTGTTAATGTTATATTTTTTTTATTAAACCTAATTCATTTCTCTGGATGCATGTAGCCTTAATTCATTAATAATTATTAAATTTAACAGCGCAGAAAATATTTTACACATTAATGTAAATCAATGGCAAAATGGAGTTAGTTCCCTTGGTTAAGGAATATAAATTAAATACGGAAGTAGCACTGCCATCGGGAATGAGTTACAGCAAAACAAATGTATCTATGTGAATGGACACAACATAATACTCTACCCCGATAACAGTTGAAGACAATCAGTGGATGAGTTGCTGAATTGGAAAATAGAACTTTACACAAAGATATAAAATAAAATAAGAGAGGGACCTGCCCAATTAATTAAACATGATGTCCCATTCTATGGCACGGGTATTCCTATGACTACAAAAATATTTTGAGGAAAAAAAAAACCTCAACAGTCAAATATTTTCATGTTAATCCATTCTGAGGTGAGCACAAAAATCTCTCTCAAATAATGAAAAGTCAATGTTCAAAAGAATTGAAAAAATGGAAACATTAAAATGAATTGCTACGAAATTGAACTAGAATACAGTAATTCAATCTTGAACTTCATAAAGGGTTGAGCTAAGAGAAAATGAAAAACTTTTATTCAACTTCTTAACAGAACTTTTAACCAATTTATGATCTTTAAAAACAAAATAAAAATAATAAAAAGGACATGAAACAAAACACTCTGGCCTGGTGACAAGATTGAGGAGTGGATTAAAAAAAATATTCTTGTTAACCCATAAATCACAAATTACAGAACAAAATTTAATTGTAAAGCTTCTTAACTCTAACTCTTAACGCACTGTACGTTGTTTCAACATTATGGTTGTGTCTTTGCTATTTCTCTTTTACACAGAAGAGTGGTACTTATTGTTTATTGGCAAAACTAGGGTTTATTTGTTGTCATTTGAAGCATTATTGTATTGATATTGATTGCCATTTTTTTTTCTTAATCAACACTGTTGCTATGGCTACCCTAGGACCTATTAGGTGAGTAAGTTTCCTAGACAATTAAAGCTCAAAAAGCTTTGAAAATGTTTTATACTATATCTTTTGATAGTGAAGATGATTTATATTCAGATCCATCGCATGATTCCAATAGTAGTAGTCTTAGAGGATTTGAGTTATAGCAGTGAAGATGATGCATGCTTACATCAGAGGGTTTGGGTAAAAAAATGGTTGTGCATGTTTTCACATTTAAAGTTTCTTTTCTGTTACTTATTTTATTTAAACTGAAGAAATAAGTTTACAAACATAAGTCCATTCAATTATCTTTCATGATATTTTAAATATTTTTTAATGAACCCCCACCTCTCACTGAATTTTTTGCTTTTCGAAAAAATATGTAAATTTTTTTCTATAAAAAATTCCGCAGCGAAAGATTTAACAACCTTGCCTTTATCTTTTAACTAAAATCATTATCAAAGCTAAAGTTCATTTTTTTTTGTCTCTAGCAAAACTCAATTTTTTATAAAATTTAACACACACAATAAAAAAATCTGATTCAGACATGCTTAACAAGTTACATAAAAATGGGTAAAAAATTTTGTGGTTTAATTTTTGTGGTAAAACAAGATTATTTTGTTTAAAACAACGAATATATTGGGTAAAAAGTTTGGTTATGTACAATTATAAAAACTGAAATTACTTTCTATAACAACCTTCAGGACGTAGATTAAAAAATCTGAAAAATCTTTGAAAAGAAAAAAAACCAATGTTAAGCGCCAACTATAATTAGATGAAATTTTAAACGTAAATTAATTTGCAATAAAAAATCTAACAGCAAAAGTTAGCTACATAAAAGTTGTGTCATCGAAGCCAGATTTGTTCTTAGATCGAGCTTCAAACAGTTCACGGACTAGAGTAGACTTTTCCTTTTCCAACTGACTGATTACATCTGTTTTCTGTCCAATTTCCTAAAACAAAATTAATGTTATACAATTATTTCTGATCAAAACATCAAAGTTGAAAATAAACGGCTAAATATTATGGTGCTGATCGGGGGCGAAAATCACTTAGCCAGAGTGTAAGTAAATATATAAATGTTTATATATATATATATATATATATGTATTATTTATATATATAAATAAACGTACCAGATCACCTTATTTTCTCAACTATGTTCAAAGGGATAGATTTAAATTTAAGATTAAGTATTTAAAATATTCATTAACTTTGTATTGTCTTGAATTGTCACTGAAAGCAAAAGTGAAAGATCAGCACAAAGATGTTTTGGACAGTTAAAAAAAAAAAAATTTACTTTCTTTGCTTTGTCTATAAAACTTATCCCACTTTTTTAAAAGCAAGAAAAATAATTATGTCATCCATTATCGTCCATGGATTTTTAACTGATGTATTCCTCTACAACTACTACAAGACTACTAACTAACTAACTTAAGAACTACAAGACTACTACAACTACCTATTTGTCGAAATACAAATGCAATGAAACGTATGCAGAGCTTACAACAGCCATGTGATCAAAACAAAACGTTAGGTTAGCTTGATTTACAATGTCCAATTGCTAAGTGTAAATGTAATATATTCTGTATCTCAAAGTGTCATTTCTAATAAAGGAAATGTTGGGAAATCTATGATTTTGAAACAGTATTTTGCAATTTTAATTTTATACACAATAGGATTCTAACAGCCAGTAATCCCAATAAATAAGAGTGAAACAATTCATTAAATTTTTTTTTTTCATTTAAAAGTCATGTATCTCAAATAATCACTGCCAAAATCGTCATATCACTTATTGAAGTTTGGTTTAGACACTTTTTTAAAGTATTTTTAAATACTTTAAAAACTTCAAATGAATAGGTTAATTCTGGAAAACCTTTTGATTTTTAGAATTCAAAGGAATAATATTTTATTCTTACCTCAAGCAACCGCCTGTTTTGTTCTTTGATTCTGTGTGATGTGCTACTGTCCCCAGGCTGTACGTTGGATGAAGCAGACGGCATAACAAGATTCATATGTATAGGAAATCCCTGAAAGTGACAACACACAAAACTGGAAACAGAAACTAATAAAGTGTTTTTAAACTTCTTCAATGAAAAGATCCCCTTTAGTTCTGTAACACTTGAAACTAAAGCACAAAATGAAGTTGTGCAGGAGCAAAAAACTTCTGCTCATCTCTATTTTTTGAATTTTTAAATTCAATTGAATACATCTTGTCTGTGCTATACATATTCCTTGCAAATACTTGATGTACATAGTGAAGGTTGGATACCATATAGACAGAATACTACAGTGCGATTAAGTTTAAAGATTAAAACAAATTTATTTTTTATCAAAGAGGTCATGGTTAGAAGTAAGCAAATACATCTTTAACACTGATTTGTGATGTTATTAAATGATGTGCAATTTCTCTAACAATTCATAATTGAATACCGTAGTGCTAAAAGTACTAAAGTCATATTTTTGCCAAAATCAATCTAAATGTGACCTTTCCCAATCTGGTTTAGCCAAGTGTGTCACGGTCAGATCGCATGAGTTTCTCTGTGTCTGCTTTTATGATGTTAATTGAGCAATCCTGGGTGGGTTTTTTCCGTGTGGGCCCCACGAGTTTTTCTTGGTCATGTATGACCATGGTGGTGTGTCGGGAGGAACCACGTGATGATAGGAGTGTTGTGTGAAAAAGAGAAGTGAGTCCTTTGGGGGAGAAGACTGTGGCCAGTGTTGTGGATAGGGTCTATGATTTTAGTTTAGTGGAGAGAGCGACATTCTTCTATGGGTGGAAGAAGACTTAGAGTACATTCTCGCTAGGACTTGTGTAACTATTTTTGTATAGTATGTGTAGTATTTCTGGACACGTTTTTATTCTGAACACCAGAGATTATTTCGTGTTCATTTTTTCACTGTCATGCATATGGAGCCAATAAATAACAAGAAACCTGAATCTATGCATCGTTTGTTTTGATACTTGGAACATTCAGCACATCAGCTCTGTAAGGGCTAGAAATAAAGGGGTTCTAGACCCTTAAAAATGATTCTGTGGCTATTACGCAGGGGTGCGACCTCTAGACAACGTACATTGCGTCACAAAGTGCACTGCAGAAATTTGAACACATTAAAATGTGCCTCAGTCTCTTAATTAATTAAACAAGACAAAATATGAAAATAATAATATTTTAAAGACGAAAAGAATATATTATCTCAAAATGTATATTTTGTGACTTAATTACTTTTAGCACTAATGTCTTCAATTGGAACTTGTTTAAAAATGTAACACAAAGAGTTGAAAGTGAAAACTGTCACTGGACGATTGGTCCTCCTTACCTTATCAGAGCTCTCCACTAAGGCATGTAAATGTTGATTCACTTCAGCTATTCTTGCACGCTGAAAATTCATTCTTTCTTGATGTGCCTCCACCGAATTGTCCTGCATTTGTAAAAAATTTTAACAATATGAATTTCCTTCCTGAATTTTTTTTCTCCAATTAATGTGTTACATGGTAGTGACCTTTGGTTTATGTACCCCCCTGACCCCTGACCTTGTCAGGAGTCCACATTCCAGTGAAGAGGGACAAATTGCTTGATAAACCCAGTGGCTGACCAGTGTCCCAGTGGCTAAACAATGCCCCAGGCAAAGCCTATACCAAAATAATAATTCTTGTTTACACTGCCAGCAGGTGACCTTGGATTACATCAGGGCAAGTGTTTAATAAGCGACCCCTAACTCTACATCAACCCGTATATATACGGGGTATATTATCCTAATAAAGGTAGACCCTCAGATGTATTGATGCAAGATTAGTGGTATTAGCTTAGTACTGGACAGAGCCCTCCACTAACTCTGTACTAGATAGAGCCCTGAACTTACTTAGTACTAGATGACTAGATTGGGCCCTGCACTAACTTAGTACTACATAGGGCCATCCACTCGCTAGCAGCGATAGTTATCAAATTCAAGTACTAAATGTCATATTAATTCCAAGAACTTAGAATTGGGTTTTGTACTCTTTATATTACTGTGAGGGTTAGATATTTCTAGTGTTAGACTTAGACTTTAATTAATTTCTTTGTACAGTCGAACACTCTTATCTCGACCTCGGTTAACTGGCCAACCCTGTTATGTCGACTTTTTTGAAGTGGAACCGCCAAATTCTCTCTTTGTTTTAGCATTTTCTCCTTGGTTATGTCGATTCTTTTATGTCGCTGAACCCTGATATCTTGAGCACAAAAGGTGGCTAAATTTTCCTCTTAACCTCGGTTATCTCGATCCTCATGACCAATCGCCGGCTTTTGAACTCGCAAGAAGAAATAGCAAACAACATATTAACAAGTTTTTCCTAATTAAAAATAATTATTTATTTCTCAAAATACAGGACTTGTGTTTTACAATGAACCTAGAAGTAATTTGAATAAATATGTTTTAATTCGAGGTTTAAAACCCCAGTAGATTCCATATTATAAATGATCATAATTTGCCGTGTGCAAAACATAGTCATGGGCAGCCATTCACGGTTACTTGCATAATCGCTATGCCGTGCCACTAAGTCAGAGTTTCATTCATATGAGTTTGCCGTGTGCAAAAGCTATTAAACCATTAATGAGGGAAAGCTTTAATTAAATAGTCATGTGCCAAAGTTGAAAGTTCAAAATAAGTAGTCCCTAAATAGTATTTTAGTAACAAGGGGATGCGTTGTCTTATATAAACAATATAGTCATTGCGCAAGACACCATCAGCAGAATGAGATCACAAAATGTGGAGGCTTCGTCCATAGTAGAAAATACCAAATGAACTAGCACTTTAAAAATTCGTAGCTTAAAAAGTACTAAAGTTAAAAAGTAGATTCAGGTTTCATTTTTTAAAATTTGCTCTAAATGACTGTAATTTTTATTTTTTTAAATTTTTTTAAAAAAATATTTTTTTTACTGAAGTACCTGCATTTACTAACGCACATCATGCACATAAAGAAATTTCAAGCACATGTTAATATATTGCAGCCAATATCGTTATCGTTTATGTTAATCATCTGTTATCTCGACACATTTTGGCAAACCCTGAGGCCGTCGACACAACCGGGTTCTACTGTATGTAGATTTTATGTGTCTTTATTCATGTTTTATTCCATGTAAAAAAAGTACCTTTATATTAGAGCACAGATTGTCTTGATCATAGCCAGCAGTATGTCTAAAATCTACCTATGTTAGCACCCATTTAATTATTCCCTACACCATGAGCTTGTTTAACTTCCCTGAACACCAAAGGGTGCTGAACATATACATATACATTTTTGTCCCAATTAAATTCACAGCCACATGACGTATGCAAATGTATTTTTCAAGTTCAAATCAAATTTTATGTTTCATTTTAAATCATAAGCTAATTTCTAATCCATCTCTGAACACATTTTTAAAGCCCCTTTTGAAATAACATGAATGCCTATAATTTTGTAAAAAAAACTTTGAACTGTGTGACAAAGTGCAGACTCACATTATAATTAACCTTCCCCAGCATAGCCTGTTTCTCAGAAACAGCTTGCATTTTTTTCTTGTACCAATCTCTAGCTGTGTCGACCATGGCCAAGCCTGTACGCAAGATTGACATCTCCTCTTCTAGTTGCTTCATTCTTTTCAGCTGAAAAGAAGAACATAAAAAAAGCTGCCTTATTTTATGGTCATAAAATATAGTTGCTTTGTCACTTCAAGTTTAAATTAATACCAGTTATTTTTACATGGCTGTCTTTGAATGAAAGTACTATGTGTTTCAATCTTTATCAATCACATATGAGATACTCTACCATATTCTGATCAATGCCATTAGCCAGTGTGTGTCTTCTTCCAGATCCATGGCGTCGCACACTGGCTTTTAGTGCTTCTGATTGATGTGTCTCCCGTCTCTTCTGAAACTCATCAATGTTGGCTAAATAGACAACAGAAACAATTATTATTACTGTTAATTTGTAAAGTAAAGAAAGAAGCTCTTGACTGTTGAAAATCAAAACGTTTTGTTTTCCAAATAGGATTATATTAAACACACATTTCTTAAGTCTTTACATCATTTCTTTTTTAAAATACATCAATGTCACTTGAAGTATAAAATAAACTTATTGTATAGGCCTATTGACGAGTTTCCTATGATCGGATCTAGAAATACCAAGACTTCAGCCATCTTGTTGAAATTGGGTCCCTATTCTTCCAGCGTTTGATATGATAAAATAGGGTTTCCTCCCACTCTTTTTTTTTTTTTCAGTATCTATGTGGATTGTTTAGGCAGCGCTCATTTTTTATTAGTTGAAAAGCACCCTGGCTATATTTTTGGGAGGAAAAGTTATGAAATTTACATTATTAATTGTCTCTGAGATCCTAACTTGAGCCAAATTTAAAGAATATATAATTGTGTTATTATTATGCCATATGCTTATCGACGGGTTTTGAATTTCTGATTCTAAAAATATGGAAACAGGGTAGTTTTTTCTGGATATTGATGTAAAATAGTTGGTTATTTCTCCATGACATATCGCTGAACTTGATAGAAAATAATTCATAAATTGGTTAAACTTTCATTGGGTACCTATAAACATATTTTATCTAAGATATTTGATTGATGAGCCATTTTTTAATCAACAAATTGGGGTGTATACTCTAGTAATACTATTATATCCTGAAGTAACAATCATATTCATATGTACACAGAATAAGGCTTTTTGAATATCCAATTTAAACAGGTTCAGGTGAATAGATATATCTTTTTAAGTATATGTTTTGCTTACCATAAATTACAGTGTCTGAATTAACATTGCTGTATGGTTTTTCAATTTTTGCTTCAGAACTCTGAGTGGCTGACCATTCTCTCTGCCAATTTTTCAGTTCATTAAGAACTCTAACACTAGATTGTTTATCTCGTGGAGGAACAGCTGGAGGTGATTGGGATTGAAGATTAGGGCCTGATATTGACTTTTTTATTTTGGGAACTTCTGTGCCCATCATCATAGGCTGGTCAATTCTTGGTTTTTCTTGCACATGTAGCATCTGGGTACTACTAATGACACGTCTCAAATAACCATTGTTTGATGAGCCCTGAAAAGTGCCTTGGGGTGGGGGATTTTGGTGTAAAGCACTAGCGCTTCTGACATCTGGCATCACCTTGTGTGCGTTATATGTAAAGTCCCTTTGTAATTGAGGACCTGATTTTGAATTTTGTATTGATTTTATGTGATTTAATTGAGGCTGGAAACCACTATAATGATCATTTGTGTCTCTGGCGGTAGTGGTCTCAATAAAATCTCCATATCGCTGTTGACTCTGAGAAAGTCGAGCACTGTGAGGAAATGCATCACCTCTAAATTTATTGTTGTCTGCATCACTTAAAGTTGCGTGACTTGCCTTTCTATAGTTATAACCTTGATTCGAAGGTAGTTGGTTTTCTTTGGAGGCAAAAGGTTTACGACCATCATTTGTCAACATTTCTCTCTTGTTAATTAATACTAGTTTTAAGCCTGCAACGAATTTGTCAAAGCTTAGAAGACCATTAGAAGGAGTAACCTTCCTTAAACCTTCTAATACTCCAGGAGGTAAACCCTTTACTCCATCATCACTCCATCTACTTTCTATATCCCGCAGATGAACGAATCCAGATTGATTTTCATCTAAAATGTCAAAAAGAATCCTAAGCGATGAAAGAAATTGCTTAGGTAGCCCTTCATTTGGGTCTCTCTTTACGCTGGAAGTAGTATTCATTCTTAATTTCAAAACAGAATTTGAAAAAGAATTTATATTTATAAAAAAATCAAATATTCATTGTTTGTTGACATTTGTGAATGAATTCAGTTGTAGCGGATATTTCAAACTCAGTATAATGAAGAGGTGAACCTAAATGCCGACAAATACCAAACACCACAGATCCAGTACATAGTTCAGACACAGTGTACAGTTCTTATGACTTATCGTCTAAAATTGTGTAACTGGAAAAAGAGATATAGGATAAATTATTCACCAATAGTTGTGTTCGAAATATTTTAAATGATTTTTTTTTTTAAATTAAAAGGTTAAAACTAAAATATTTTTAAAGTTCTTAAAAACGAATCTCTGGTTCATTTGTTCAGAAACATGTTACTTTTCAAAATGATATTAAATGTATTCTAAGTTAGATTTTTTTAGAAATTAAAATAAGAGTTAGATATGGAATGATGAATTATTTATAATCGTGATAACAAGGTAAAGTTCCATATTTCCTCCAGATTTTGTTTTTACTTTAGTCTTTAAAAAAAAAAAAAAAAAAAAAAAAAAAAATTTAAAAAAAATTTTCAAAATGATATTAAATGTATTCTAAGTTAGATTTTTTTAGAAATTAAAATAAGAGTTAGATATGGAATGATGAATTATTTATAATCGTGATAACAAGGTAAAGTTCCATATTTACTCCAGATTTTGTTTTTACTTTAGTCTTTAAAAAAAAAAAAAAAAAAAAAAAAAAAAAAAACTTTAAAAAAAACTCTCTAATAAATGTTTCATAAAAATGCATTTATTGTCTCATAACAAAATTCATCGTTATAATTTCTTAAATGTTAAAATATAAGAATTATTCAATATGCGCCTAGATAAAATAAATATTATATTAGAATCAATGCGTTTAGAAAATTATTTTGGGGTGTATAGGATGTTTTCAATTTAAAGTATCGATTTTCTTTAACATACCAGAATGGACTCTTAAGAATGCAAAATTACACGTTTATAAAATTTCAAAATAAAAATGTATTTGTTAAATTTCAAAATAAAATAATTTCATAATCAAAACATTCTGGCCATAATATTTTAGAATATTTTATATACCTTTTTTTGATAGTAAGTCAAATAATTTATATTTTTTTGGCTTCATTAAGTATTTGCTGATGAGGAGAATATGAGGTCTCTGGCCAAATCCTCTATAAGCAGAAATTACCTCATTCCGCACTTTAGTAAAAGTTAAAAGATTGCTTGGTAAAGGTAAATACTTAAACTTGGTTATATGTTTAAAGATTTTTATTGGCAGCCTGAGTTCATTGTTAATATTTATAGAATAAATACCTCGAAAATTTGTAATAAGGTGAATTTGACTGTATTTTTCACATTTCTTGCCCCCGTCGGTAACGTCAACAAACAAAAATGGCGTCCAGATGGATTTTTTAAATTCAAAAGTCAAAACCATTCACTTATACTAGTTATTGGATTATTTCAATCGCCCCTAATTATTGGTACAATATAAATATAGTTAATACTTGTTTTTTAAGAATTAACAAATTCTAAGAGTTTACTTTTGACTATTTTGAGTGTCTAATCTTAATAAACGTAGACTTAATTAGGATTTAGTTTTAGGACCAATTCAATAAATAATACTAATACTAATAACTAATACATAGGCCTAGGCCTAATTAGTATTTAGTGTTAGTTAGTATTACAATTTCACTTACAGCTTAGTACTATTCTGAAACTTTTCAGAACTAAGAATACTAAACTAAGATTAAGATTAGTCATATAAGATTATTAAGAATAGGGGTGTGCCGGAGTCCGGCCCGGAATCCGGTTCCGCCGGATTTTGCACTATCCGGTGAAATCCGGTTCCGCCAGATTTACATGTATCCGGAACAACCGGAATCCGGAATATACCGGATTTCGGAATTTGCCAGATTTTGTGACTCACCGGATCATAATCTGAAATAAAAGTAATTCTCTTTCCCGAATTCCACACGATCACGATACATTAATCGATTGTTTCGAGCGTTGAGCTTGTTTAATGTTTAATATTCCGTACATACCAGAGGCTAGAGTCAGCACCGCTAATAGTGGCCAATAGTGTAGGGACTTTGATAAGAAAATTTAAACTTTTTGTAAAAATAAACCAATGGCATAGTTGAAAAGATGTAATTTTTTAAAGAATTATAACACCAAAATCATATTTTTAGCTGTTGTAGTTTTAAAGTTATGAATTTTTAAAGTACGACTTGGTTTGTCATTTTTTAACATGGACTGCATCTCCACATTCTGTGATCTCATTCCGCCAATCCCGTCATGCGCAATGACTATATAGTTTATATAAGGCAACGCATTCCCTGCCTTATCACTAAAATACTGTTTAGACTTAGTTTAAACTTTCAACTTTGGCACATGAATAATTAATTAAAGCTTTCCCTGACCAATGGTTTAATAGTTTTTGCACACGGCAAACTCTTATGAATGAAACTCTGAGGTAGTACTACGATACAGTTATGCAAGTGGCTGTGAATGGTTGCCAATGACAACGTGTTGCACACGGTAAATTCTGATCATTTATAATATGGATTCTACCGGGTTGTTAAAGCTCAAATTAAAACATTCCAGTTTAAATGTCTTTAAATGCATTCTGAAACACAAGTTATCAATTATTTTGATGTAAATAGTGATAATATATTAATATTTCCTAAGTATCGTCAACTTCCGCCATTAAAAAGGGGGGCGTGGCCAACCCCATGGCGAAATTAGGTTGAGCAAGCTGCATGACCTGCTGCGAACGCGTAGAAACATGGCGTCTCTCGTAAGACACATATCCAAATGGAACGGAACTCAAATATATATCGAAAGTACTAATTTAATAATAAATAGACACACACATCGGAAAATTAAAAACTCGGATTTTTTGGCGCCGATTGCGAATTCCCATACACAAAAAGTAGTAGTCCACCTTGACTTACCGAAGTATCTACCAATAGTACCAAAATCCGGAATCCGGGAGAAACCGGAATCCAGATTATTCCGGAATCCGGATCCGGCGGATTTTGCATAAGAAAATCCGGATCCGGTTGGAAAAAACGGATCCGGCACACCCCTAATTAAGAACACTAAGTTGGCACGGGAGAATACTTCAAAATTTTTATGGGAAATGGAAGTCGGCTCATAAGAATATGAGTTTTTTTCAACATTTGTGCTTTTTCATTAGTGAAAGTAAAGGGACTATTTTGTCTTAAAATTGTGGTATCCTTCCTCATCTTTACCTACATTTCAACGTATTGTTCTGCCTTTTTTTTTTATAAACCTTAATAATGGAAATTCATAGGTATAAAATATGAGGCATCTTTCCCTCAAAGTTTTTTAAAAGAAATTCAAAGACAATGAGTTGCATTTTAATCTTGAAAGGCAGTGTCTACATGTCTGGCGACCGGACGGGCATGTCACGTGACCGCCGTACAACTTGTAGGTGTTATTATTCCGGCAGACATGTCATGTGACAAGAAGTCCCCGGCCAAATAATTGCATTGTATATAGGGTTGCCATATCTAGCTGGGACCTCGTCAGAACACTCTGAGATGAGGGTGTAGAAGCGAAGTAAAAAAAATTATGAGTTTAATTACTTAAAAGAACATAACGGTCCTAATTATATATCATATTCCAATATTGTGTATATACGTTAGTCAGCCGATCCTGAGATAGTAAATAAATACTGAATATGTTAATATTTTCAAATGCTATGAGATACATAAAGCGTATTATAAGCTTTTGACTTTGAATTATAACTATTATAATAATAGTAGGTCTATATACTAGTCTTTTTGAATCCGACTCTTCAAAGAAAAAAAAAGTCTGTTATCTTGATTTAGATATCTTATAAGGCTCTACCTATTAGCCTAAATTTAAAATTTTAACAAAACAAAATAAGACCAATACCTGCCAGATGACTTTCAATAGTCCTATGTCAAAAAAGTTTTATTTTAGTCTATTAATATTGCGTGAGAAGTAGGCTACCCCAGCAGCACACTATATTGGCCCTAGAGTAAGATGTAGGGTTTATTTCATTGTGAACTATCGACCTTTCCGCTTTAATTATTTATCACCCTACTTATCATTTTTATCCGTTCTCTCTCAGTATTTCTTCCTTCTAGTATCCATTGCTCTCTCCCACCCACCCCTCCCTCCACTTATTTGTTGAAATTAAGTAAACTCGTCGCCCACATGCATCTCTGACACCATTTTTCTATTTGACTGTAAGTGGTCACGTGACAAGGCTGACGGACAAATATCTTGCACAATTTTGTTACGGGGGTCATGTGACTTGGTCCCCGGACGAATATCTCGAGAACTTTTTTGTCCGGTCGCCGAACATAAAGACACTTGGATCTTGAAAAGAGTTATATATTAATGAATATGTGTGCCGATTCTCATTGATGTAGGTCATGTCCGACGTTCGTTATGCTTGTCCTAATAACCTGCATTACAAAAAGGTCGCTCAACCCGATTTCGACCACGCTCCTTTTTTAATGTGCCCATTTTTAGGAAATACTCAATTATTGCCATTATTTATATCAAAATATTTGATAACTTATGTTTGAGAATGAACTTCGACGGCATTTAAACAAGAATATTTTAATTTGAGGTTCAAAAAGCCGTAGAGTCCATATTATAAATTATAATTTGTTGTGTACAAAATAGACTATATATGTATATATATAATAGACGCAAGACTTGATGAATAGAACATCCATATTGTTTTTAATTTACTGCAATAATGAATATTACATAGCCTGATTATTTATAATATATTTATAATTTCATAATAATAAAATGAATTTTAAATTGAGAACTTAGAAATAAAACTTGCATAAAATAATCATTTAAACAAGAGTATTTGCATGTGACGCGGTCAGCGAAATGGAGTCACAAAATGTGGGGGTGCAGTCCATAGTAAACAAGAAAAAATATCAAAAGAACTTGCATTTTAAAATTTATAGGTCAAAAAGTACTAAAGCTGGAAATTTAATTCTGGTATAATTTTTTAATTTTTTTAATTTGCTCTAATCAACTAATATTTTAATAATTTTTGTTTAATTTGTTGTTTGTTGTTACAGAAGTACCTACTAAGACTAAGATAGTATTCAGAATTCATCAGGAATAGGCTAATTGGCCCTAAGTTCAGATTAGGGGCCATCCATAAATGATGTCACACTCATGTAGAAAGAATTTTTACCCCTTCCCTTCCCCACAAATCACCACAAATTTGGTAAAATTACTTGTCATGGCGGCTGTGTAAAAAAAAAAAATAGTGCAAACTCACGTCTGCTAAAATGGGGATGGGAAAGAGAGAGAACATGTTGTTTTAGCTAATTATCGAGAGAAACAGAAATAGGAACAAAATGTTAAAATTTAATGAAATAATTTCAGCTGGCACATTAATTTTGTTGCAAACATAGGAACTGTATTGTATCCTCTAGATCAGTGGCCCCCAAACCCCGTGCCGCGGACCGGTAGCGGTCCGTGGATCAAATGGTACCGGGCCGCCAAAAGAAACATTAAATTTTTTCCATTTTATAAGCTTACCAGATTTTCTGAATGATAAGTATGGATGTACGGACACAAAGGCTCACAGCAACGGGTACCATAAGGCCGTGTGGGGGGGGGGGGGTGTGTTGTGCTTGGTTTTTTTTTTAGGGGGGGGGCACTCCCCCACCCCCTATCCCTTTAAAAAAAAAACAAAGACATCAAACAATTTTTATGGGTAATTGTGACGTCACAGGATAATTATTATTTTTTTTTTATGAATGAGTCGCGTGTTCATACAGCCGACAATTTGGCCAGCCCAGTGGTCCCCATATTATGCGTCGCTCTGGGTGCCATGTTGCCCTCAGGCAGAGCCATGAGAGTTGGGCAAAGAGGGCAGTCACAGCGGGAACCAAATTATAAATCAAAACAATCCAAAATATAGCAATCGACACACCCCAACCCCTCAGCGGGCCGCAGTAAAATTATCAAACGTTGACCGGTCCGCTGCGATAAAAAGTTTGGGGACCACTGCTCTAGATATTCAGCAAGAAGTGTCAATGACCTGCGGTCACTACCTTCCCTCAACTAAAACACACGTGCTACAGTTACACACTGTGGTAAGAAAAGTGTAAAAATGAAGAAATACAATACAAAATAATTTTAAAATAGTAATGAAAATGCAACTTACGGTTTCATAGAATACAATCTTACACATTTTATTGCAAGTTCCACCTAAAAGAAAATCCAAAAGTTTGCAGAAAATCAATATAAAACCATAACCATTTTCAAAAATGCCAGAAAATATAAGTATAATTAACCACCCAGAGAAATTATAATTTAAAACATTACATTAGCGTATTATTTTAAAAAATAAGTTAACTCTAGTAATCCAAGAATAAACAAAAGGGAGAGAATCCTACACAGAAACTCAAACTGGCACAGATTGCGTAAATTGACCCAAATTTGTAACATAAAAATTAAACAAACTAACTTATCATCACACATCGTCACAAATTCCTACCCCCCCCCCCCCCCCCCATCTTTTACGTTTTCAGGCCCTAGATGTGTGACGTCATTAATGTATGGAACCTAAGGCTTACCCCTTATTGGCTTCATTAAATTTTATTCTATGGCTCTAGGCCTAATTATAGTAATAGAACTAATATTTTAGTGTCTAAAAGAAATTGACTTTAAAAATTTCATAGTCTAAAATATAGACCAAATGTATTTTCCAAGCAAAAACTTCAAAAATGTACACAGACACAAAAAAATGACACATACTTGTTTAGTAATCAACCTTCCATTAGTATACACAGATGACACATACTTGTTTAGTAATTCACCTTCCATTAGTATACACAGATGACACATACTTGTTTAGTAATCAACCTTCCATTAGTATAAACAGATGACACATACTTGTTTAGTAATCAACCTTCCATTAGTATACTCAGATGACACATACTTGTTTAGTAATCAACCTTCCATTGTTACATTTGTGATAATAAATTGCAGAATTAACTGGCTGACTTTAAGATGGCAGAAGAGATGGAGACAGCTGAAGGAGCTGAGCTATCATCACCAATGTCCTTCAACTCTCTTGTGGCCCCCCAGCATGGTAAACTGGCCAATTTTGATGTTGAGAAAAAGATTGGAAAGGGCCAGTTCTCAGAGGTTTACAGAGCCAAGTATAAACAAAATGAAGGGATGCCTCTTGCCCTTAAAAAAGTCCAGGTAAAAAAGTCATTTAACTCGCTTTCTAACGTGGACATTTGACCAATTAGTTTTTAGCCATGTCATGGGTTTTTGTGTCCTGGTCTAATCATTCATTTTATTGTTGAGATTTAATTACCTGCACTGCAAAGATGTCAATTGTGTTCCAGATTTTTGAGATGATGGATGCCAAAGCCAGAAATGACTGCATGAAAGAAATAGACCTGCTGAAAGTAACTAGTGTTGTTATATTGTTAAGATTTATCTTTGCTGGAATGTTCAATCTCTTTTTTTTTAAATTGTTAATTTATTAAGTAAGTTCAATGGCAGGATATTTGTAATAGTCAGTGTTCTTTCTTATTAAATATATTTATTGATTGATTTATATTTTAAGCTATGAGATAATTTTTTTTTTAAATGTATGTGCTGTTATTGGCAATGAGTTATTAAGCCTAAATTATCTGTATTGCTTTTCAGCAACTGGACCATCCAAATGTGATCAAATACCTGGACTCATTTATTGAGAATAATGAACTGAACATAGTCCTGGAGTTGGCTGATGCAGGAGACCTGCAGAGGATGATAAGGGTGAGTTTGTCAAGGTTTATTTTTTCCCCTTTTAAGATAATGCAAAATCATGCAAAGATTTCTCTTGTGATTAAAAAGGTAAATGACTTTTCACATCTAAGTAAATTCAAAATTTGCAAGGAAATTAAAAAAATATTTAAATATTTGCACCTTTATTGGTTAATTTGGTTCATCTGTCTTGTAAACAAATATCTTTTTATATTATCCAAATATCCATGGTGTTACGATAGTCCGGAATTTTTTTGTTGGGAAAAGTAGGGAATTAAGTTTATTTAAAAGAGGAGGAACCGTGAATTTAACCTTTATTAGAAAGTGCTTGTGATATTGATTGATAATTAATTTTATGAATCTGTTTCAGCACTTCAAAAAGCAGTGTCGACTTATCCCAGAGAAGACTATATGGAAATATTTTGTCCAAATTTGCAGTGCTTTGGATCATATGCACTCCAAGAGGATTATGCACAGAGGTTAGGATTCTAACCATTTCTGTTTTTTTTTTGTGTAGTCCATTTTTCAATGTGGATCTATTATTTAAGCTTTTGCCAAATAGTAATCTTTCTATAAACATAATGTACTTTTCAATGTGGGTCTATTGTTTAAGATTGTGTCAAATAGTAATCTTTCTATAAACATAAAAATGTGGTTCATTTTTTTTTAAAAATAATTTTACTCAGATTGTCCCCTTTTTTCAACCATGATGTCACCAGCCATTCCTCAGATCATTGTATTCATTATTTTGTAAGGCTCTATCAACTTCTTTCCTTTTATTGACCTGATAATATTTTCTGAAACAAATTAGATATCAAACCTGCCAATGTTTTCATCACTGCCCAAGGGATTGTTAAGCTGGGTGACCTTGGCCTTGGGAGGTTTTTCAGTTCCAAAACTACAGCTGCCATGTCCTTGGGTTTGTATCAACAATTTAACCCATGCCTAAGTTTAATTTTTGTCATTCTCTTCTAATGCAGTGGTTCTTAACCTAGGTTCGATCAAACCCCAGGGGTTCAGTGAGTCAGTCTCATGGGTCCGGCGGAGGTCCAAAAAAAATCAGAAAAAATAATCATATTTTATTTTTCCTATTAAGAAGTGTTCAGTGAATGGGCATATGAAAATGGTGGGTTTCAGTACCTCCAACAAGGTTAAGAACCACTGTTCTAATGTATACAAGCTTCTCAACCTGAACTATGCACAGCCTTTACCTAGATGAAACCAGTGTCAGTTTAAAATAATCCTCTAAAAATCTTATTTAAGAATATATGGCATTTTAATTTATAGTTAGAGATTTAAAAGTGTGAGGGAAAATATCATCTGTCTAATCTCCAAGCATGTATTTATTTATTTTTTTCAATGTGTATTGCCATTGAATGAGCGTCTTCTCATTTCAGTTGGGACACCTTACTACATGTCACCTGAGAGAATCCATGAGAAGGCTTATAATTTCAAGTCTGATATTTGGTCCTTGGGGTGTCTGTTGTATGAGGTAATACCTTTAGTCTCCACCTGATAGGATATCCTCAGTTCATTTTTAATTTGTTTATTTACTTGAAAAAAATAGTGCATCTAATACTAATTATAAACTATGGCTGGAATTTACAATTTACCTTAGTTTGGAACAGAAACTAAATGTTAAAAAACATATGGTATAAGACGTGTATGTAGATTCTACCAATGTAAAAGATAACTTTAAAATGATTCACCAATGCTTTATTCCTATTTGTTGAAAAGATAACATTTCCTAACCGATCATAAAATAAAACCCACGTGTCCCATGAACATCAAGATATATTGGCACTACAGATGCACAAAATTTAGACTGTGTTTTTTTGTTCATTTATTGCATTCAGACAATTTTTGTCCACTGAAGCCACCAACAAAAAAATACTTAGTGCTCAATTTAGCAATCTGATGTTGAAAGTAAATGTCTTATTTCCTCTTTTCTGGACTTCTGGCATTTACAAGGCTTTTTTTGCAATATTCTACAAAAATCTATTGCTTGAAACATAGTAGGCTGTAGATGATGAAAGCAAACTCATGATGAACTCATTGCTGGACTTCCCATTGGACATAACTTTCACCACCTTTCATAACTTTCACCACCTTTCATGTGTAGCATTTCTGAGTTTCAAACTACAGGTAGCTAATAAGTTGTGCATTTTATTCACCTACTCTGGGCAAGCAACACTCGTGATTTATCATTCAAGTTTCTTATTTCTGTTCAGATTGTATTGTAATGTAAGAACATGGAGAATAGCTATTCCTTTTATGACAGATGATGTCAAAACAATCCATATTCTGTGTTTTACAGATGACATCAATACAATCTCTATTCTATGCTATACAGGTGACATCATACAATCTGTATTCTATGTTTCACTGATGACATCAATACAATCTCTATTCTTTGTTTTACAGATGGCAGCACTACAATCGCCATTCTATGGTGATAAGATGAATCTGTTTTCCTTGTGCAAGAAAATAGAGCAGTGTGATTATCCTCCCCTTCCAGCTGATTGTTATTCCGAGCAGGTAAATGTCTTAAAATATTTTATTGTTTGTAGAATTATCTTGTTAAAAACCTTTTAATATCTTAAAATTGTGTGTGCAGTCATTGATATAAATTGTGTGTGCAGTCTTTGATATAAATTGTGTGTGCAGTCGTTGATATAAATTGTGTGTGCAGTCATTGATATAAATTGTGTGTGCAGTCATTGATATAAATTGTGTGTGCAGTCATTGATATAAATTGTGTGTGCAGTCATTGATATAAATTGTGTGTGCAGTCATTGATATAAATTGTGCTTTCTTATGTGCTTAAAAAATATTTTTACACTGTATAATTCTGATGGGGAAAAAAAGATTTATGCTAACCCAGCACATTTAAAGATAGTGACAAATTTGGCTGACTAGACCAGTTTCGTTTTACCTGACCCAATAATAAATTAAGTTGTTTTCAAACTTCATGTTACTGAACTTCACATGAAAAGAGAAATTCTCCTGCCTGACATATTGCACAAAATAAAATAAACTTACATAATCATAAAGATACAACTTTAGCAAAGTGCACACACCCGCCAGCTAGAAAACAGCAGAACGAATAAATATTTTGAGTTACAAAATTTCAGCACAGGAATCTAGTCTAGAGAAAGTTTGCTGGCGTTGTTTGCACCATAGGCTCTCTTCATCTCATCTACATTTGAACTAATGCAGTGAAATGGTGATTACATAGGCTCTTTTCATCTCATCTACATTTGAGCTAATGCAGTGAAATGTTGATTACAACTGTGACAGTTATTCAACATCTTTTCACCTCCTCTACTTTTGAACTAATGCAGTGAAATGTTGATTACAACTGTGACAGTTGTTAAACATCCTTGGTTTGTTTTTTAGCTGCGTTCTTTGGTCAACATGTGCATCAACCCTGACCCTGACCAGCGTCCAGACGTCAAATACGTATATGAAGTGGCCAAGAAAATGTACCACATGTTTGAACAACAGCAACAGCAAAGACAGCTGCAGGTACAGCAACAACAGCAGCAGCAAGTCACCCAGATGCAGCAGCAAGTGGCTCAGTAGAAATCGTCACGTGTTCTCACAGGTCAGTTGGGAGATGTAGTCGTGGCCCTTTGTAGGCTTTTGTTGAACATTATCTGACTTGATAGCAAATTTTGTAGTTAAACGGTGAAACCTTTTTTCACCAAGTTATCATCCCAGCAATGCTGACCGACTGAGCCATGCTGATGGACTGAGCCATGCTGACTGACTGCTGTGATTAGATCGAGTTTTTCAGTGTGTGTCTAGTTTGACAAGTCAGTGATTGGTGTGCAGTATTACATAGCATCAACATTTAGATCTATTAAGCATCATCATTTTTTGTCTTATATTTTGTGTCATTTGGGGTGAGTTAGGAGCTACTGAAAATGTTTTTACGTAATTGATCAAAGCAATGTTTATACAAAGGCTAATTGACAAAATGACCCTTGTATTTATTCACAGCTATGTTTAGCCCACAATTTTAGGACACTGCTAAGAGGAAGTCTGAATTATTAATTTTGTCCTATCATTTTAATGTTAGCCAATCACTTGTTTGAATCAAAGTTTACTTAAACATGTTTGTCTTTCTCGTCTACCAGTTTTTGTACAATTATTTCCAGTGTACATCAGAATTATATGTAAATATTTGAGTCTTATTTAAATGTAATATCTGTACACTCACATTTCCCCTGCCTCTGTCACCATGCATTGCCTGATACAATGCTCTACCACTCTGGATTTTTCCCTGTGGCAGCAGCAAGTTTTTTTTCCTGAGGTCTTTGATAAAAAGAGTTTTATGGCGTTACTAACGTTTGATATTTCATATTAACATATAGCTGTTAGCTTCCTATTAGTCCACTGTGTGGCCATGCAGATGATTTTTATAGCAATGATCTTACCTTTAATATTTTTTCCCAGTAAAATTTAGACTTCTAAATAAAATGTTCCCAACAGAATCAATATAGATTGTTTAATATTATTAAACATTTTCATTACTTTTTGTTTCTCCATATTCATTATACATAAATATAGATTGTTTAATTATTATTATACATTTCCATTAAATTTTTTTCCATATTTTTTTACATTAAATTTGTACATGTTTTTATCCTCCGTCCATGCTTACAACTAGTCTGGTTGGTTCTGACATTGGCAAGACAAGTTTCTTGTGTGAGGGAGTATGTCATATTTATTGTTATAAGTTATAACATTGTGTGATAGCCAACTACTGTCAGGGAGTCTCAGCTTTAATATTGTACTATAGCTTAGGGCTGTCTGGAATTCTCAGTTACACAGACACATGTGATAGCGCTATAAAGACATATGTGATAGCTAAGGGCTTTCTGGAATTCTCAGCTATAAAGACATATGTGATAGCTAAGAGCTGTCAGGAAGTATCAGCTATAAAGACATATGTGATAGCTAAGCGCTGTCAGGAAGTATCAGCTATAAAGACATGTGATAGCTAAGGGCTGTCTGGAATTCTCAGCTATAAAGACATATGTGATAGCTAAGAGCTGTCAAGAAGTATCAGCTATATAGACATGTGATAGCTAAGGGCTGTCTGGAATTCTCCGCTATAACATTATGTGTGTTAGCTAAGAGCTGTCAGGAAGTCTCAGCTATAATATTGTGTAAGGGCTAAAATTGATCAGATCGATCAAGCGATCAAGATATGTAAAGGCTAACTAACCCATTGTAGTCCTTGTATTTCGTCTCATCATTTTTGAGGAGTCAACCTTAAGAGAGAGTGCTTGTATTCTACCATACATTTCTGAGTCATGTTACATGAACTGTATATTTGTATATAAAAAAATAACTAGTTTAGCCTTTTTTTCAATCAACTGAATTTGTAACCCATGTGATTTATAGGCCTGGTACAATCGGAGCTATTGCGTAGCTGGCACAATGGGAGCTATTGCCTAGCTGGTACAATGGGAGCTATTTCCTAGCTGGTAGAATGTACAAAGAAGTTTACTGTGCAACATTTTCTAGTTTGATTTTTACATAATCTATAGGCTTGCTCCACACTCTTTGTGTGCAATTGTTCAATTTTCCTGGCCATGAGCCTTATCCATTTGTATCTTTGAGTTGATTGTTTTGTTACAAATAATTTGACTTGGTTACTGACATAAATTATTGTTTGGAGTAGTCGTTTGCAGGATTTATTGGTTGGTATAATGAGATGTAAAATGATATGCCTAAAACATGAATGGAAGTTGCTAAGGTCATGATTGATGCAACTGTGCTTATCTAAACAGTAGACTATGGAGACAATCCTCATTTGGCATTTGGCCAATGCATGACCACCTCCCTCCATGGATGACCACCTCCCTCCATGGATGACCCTCTCCATTCAGTCATGCACTCCATTCAGTCATGATGCATGACCACCTCCCTCCATTGATGACCCTCTCCATTCAATCATGCACTCCATTCAGTCATGATGCATGACCACCTCCCTCAAGAATGACCCTCTCCATTCAATCATGCACTCCATTCAGTCATGATGCATGACCACCTCCCTCCATGAATGACCCTCTCCATTCAGTCATGCACTCCATTCAGTCATGATGCATGACCACCTCCCTCCATTGATGACCCTCTCCATTCAGTCATGCACTCCATTCAGTCATGATGCATGACCACCTCCCTCCATGAATGACCCTCTCCATTCAGTCATGATGCATGACCACCTCCCTCCATGAATGACCCTCTCTATTCAGTCATGCACTCCATTCAGTCATGATGCATGACCACCTCCCTCCATGAATGACCCTCTCCATTCAATCATGCACTCCATTCAGTCATGATGCATGACCACCTCCCTCCATGAATGACCCTCTCCATTCAATCATGCACTCCATTCAGTCATGATGCATGACCACCTCCCTCCATGGATGACCCTCTCCATTCAATCATGCACTCCATTCAGCCATGAACCTTTGATTCAGGACTATCCCCTGTTTTTCAGTGAGATTTGTTACAAGTTGCCTTATTTATTCATCCATCATTTTATTTTTAAACAAAACTGCTAAATATTTATTTTTGACATTTTTCCTTTGTTATATTTTTAGTGCCTTTATTTCAGGTATTATGTGTTCTTTATTTTTATATGTATTTTTTGCTGCAATAGTGGATTGGTACAGATAATTGGCATGGCCACAGATCATTGGCATGGCCACAGATCATTAGCACGGCCACAGATCATTAGCATGGCCACAGATCATTGGCATGGTCACAGATCATTAGCATGGCCATCAGAATAATACAGCTCAATAGTGATGGTGTATTTGAACCATTAATGACTTAATTAATTATTGGGATCCTAAGAAATGGGCCAGAAGTATTTGTTCTATAATAATATGTTTTATTTGACCAGATGATGTGATGTTTTAGCTTAAACCAAATGTGTGAATTTATGATCATAAACCGTCCGAGATGTTTTCATTGAAAATTCTGACAAAAACTCCTCTGATTAAAAACATGAAGGGAAGATCGTTTTTTTAAAACCATTTTTGCAACCTATGCATATTGACGGAATGTGCAAAAAGTTTAGCATTTAAACTAACAACCTGCTCCTCAAAAATAAAAAGGAATTTTTTTACACTTGATCTGATTTAATTTTAAATATCCTTTTCGAGCGAAACAGCAACAGTTTCAAATGAACTTCTCATGTGACTACAGATGATTCTTGAACAGGTGACCACAGATTTTTTACCTTTAATGCCTAACATTCTTTCCATCTAGAGAGAAAATAATTAGCTGAAAAATATGATAGGAACCTCTTGAATAATGAGTACCGAAAATATTAATTAGATATGTGACCCAGTTTTTAAATTTTAAATAATTAGCTGAAAAATATGATAGGAACCTCTTGAATAATGAGTACCGAAAATATTAATTAGATATGTGACCCAGTTTTTAAATTTTATTGTCCACAGAAGATTTCACCTCAATAATATATATATATATATATTTTTTTTAAGAGATGAAATTTCTTTATTTGTCCATTTTTAGTAAAAATTAGTTGTTGCAGGGTGGTTAGCCACAAAGAACAATATGGAGGTCACACTGATTTGGCTATAACTAGATGAATTTACAATAAAACTCATGAAAATTGTTTATAAGTAATCTTAACAAAGAGTATATAAAATTTTAAGTCAAATTCTAATCTTTTCAAGGCAGGGATTTCAGAAAGAATATAGGGGTGATTCACATTGATATGTTTTATCTTTTAACTTCCTTGATCACAGTAAGGAGTCAGAGATTATCCACCGCCAGCATCTTTTTACTGTTCACATAGTATACATATTTGTTATCACTTGGCTAAATATCTTCAACATTCCACATTGTCTCAGCTGATTTTTTTCTGTCCTAGAGATTTTATTTATGAAGGGTCGAACTTACGAAAGAAATAAAAACTATTTTCATGAATTGTTTTGTGTTTACAGTGTTCATTAACAAATATTCTGACAATCTGCTTGCTAGCTAGATGACCAGTTGACCAAGACTTTAGGTACTGGTATCGTAATTCACCCTTGTTGCCCCACTGCCACCTTCTGATAGTATAAAACTACTTCCACTCTCACAGAATCATAGGGAAGTCCCATTTTAAATTTCAAATCCAAGCACAACAAAAATACAAACGGCTTGAATTTCTTGTTTATAAATTTAATAATGGTAATAAATCATATAAAGATGAGCATTAAAAATGGACGGAATATTGTCAACAGTTTTATTAAAACTTTATAATGTGCCCCTCGATTATGCGCCAAAGCCAATGAGGGGTTAAAAAAGGTCGTCAGGATTGCTGACTCAACACCTTCAAGTTCCCAGGTCATTTAGCTGGTTTTACCAGCTGGCCAATGAGCGCCCCACTTATAAGCTCTTCCTTGCTAGTATCTAAATAAAAATATTTCCATTAAAACTGATTGATAGCCTACATATGGTTTATCTAATCCTAACTAAATATGATCAATAGGTTTAACTTTCAGTTTCTAAAAGCAAGTTACAAAAATCCCTAGCAGATTGTGCCAGGTAGCACAAAGCAATCATGTGCATTGTGCCAGGTAGCAAGAAGCAATCATGTGCTCAGCTCTGAGATTTATTGAATGGCAGTGTAAAGTACATCCATAGTCCTGATGTACATCAATTCATATGTGTAGAATATCATAGAAAATTTCCATCAAATCAGAAATGCAGGTCTCAAAGTTACCTTTGACCTTGGTGAAACCAAGTTTCTCTCAAACCTATCTGATCCTCATGATGAAATCTGAATGCTCGAATGTTGCCTTGAGGTTCATGCAATAACTAGAGCCCAGAAATTCTATCTCAAACCATTAGGCTAATGATATCATTAGCAATGATTTGAAGTCCCCCGTAAAAGTCTAATGATATCATTAGCAATGATTTGAAGTCATCCTTGAGAGAGGGGGGGAGGTCAAGCAGACATATTTTCCTCTCGTAGGGATGAAGGGATAAAACAATACTGACCATGTAACAGTAATGCCAGCATATAATTTATTTACCATTAGAGTCATGGTACCGCTGCCAAGAACACATCTTTACAATTATCACAAGTGGCCGGTTTGATTGTCAACCAATACGGACGATGGGAATAAATGAATATCTAATGATACGGGCGATGGGAATAAATGAATATCTAATGATACGGACGATGGGAATAAATGAATATCTAATGATACAGACGATGGGAATAAATGAATATCTAATGATACAGACGATGGGAATAAATGAATATCTAATGATACGGACGATGGGAATAAATGAATATCTAATGATACGGACGATGGGAATAAAAGAATATCTAATGATACAGACGATGGGAACAAATAAATATCTAATGATACAGACGATGGGAATAAATGAATATCTAATGATACAGATGATGGGAATAAAAGAATATCTAATGATACAGACGATGGGAACAAATGAATATCTAATGATACAGACGATGGGAACAAAGGAATCTCTAATGATACAGACGATGGGAATCAATGAATCTCTAATGATACGGTTGGCAGCTTTCTTTGACTATTTCTAAACAGAAAAAACATTTTTTATAGGAATATACATTATTACATTAATAATAAAAAATATTTACATTATGATCGTATTCTCGTGGGATGCAACACAATTTGAAGGCGTTTGTGTGATCATTTACGATCACAACATTTTGCAATGAGACTGTCAGCCGCTCTGGCTTTATTGTTCCTGTCACTGTATCAAGCAGACGGAACTTTGCTTTTTGACATTTGGCTTTGATGACGCTCGTCTGCGATTAGCTGGACAAAAAGTACAACAACCAAGTTAAGAACCATTTTAAATATACATATATTATATAACTTTGTTAGAGACAGTAATACATGGATGCGTTTTCAGTCGTAGCATTTTGTCTATGTGGATAATGTGCAAGCTATCAAAGTCTTCATCACTAATCAAATCAATTTCTGCCCATTCAGAATACATGGTAATTATGTTCCCACATGATAAATGTTCTATTACATGGTCCAGGTAATTTACCTTCCAAATAAACAGCTCTGTCAAATTGTGCAGCCCCGTATACCATGCTGAGAAAACAGAAGAAAAGAAACAACATAAATGTAACAAGGGATTAGTAATGTTGTCCCAGGATCAGTTGCATAGCTTTAAATTGTTTTATCTTTGTTTAAAAATGAAATTACTACTTTAAATAGATACTGTAGTCAATGGCATAATCTGTAATGATTAAACATTCTTTAGAACATCCAATGAACATTTTTGCTTTATATACCAGTACAAATGTCACCAGCACTAGAACAATAAGAATGTTGTCAGAGAGTCTTACTTATCATTTCCTGGTCTGATGCCAGTCTCATAGTGTCCAAACACTGGGCGGTGGTCAGAAACTTTGATATCCATAACAGCATCATAGACAATACAGCTGATGTCATTTTTCCTCTTACATCGAAACATGACCCTGTCCTAGTTGGGACACAATCAGATCATTGTCAATAAGCCATTCTACTTTCTCCATGAAATAGTCAAACAAGGTAATGTGGAAGCTTGAGTCAAAAGACAGGACAGTAAGACATGAAGGTTTCGGCTTAGAGCCTTCTTCAGCCAACAGACAAACAAAAGGTAGGTATCAATAAAAGATAGTTAGTTATCCATTACAGAGAGTTAGTTATCAATAAAAGATAGTTATCAATAAAAGATATTCAGTTATCAATTACAGACAGTTATCAATTAAGGAGAGTTATTTATCAATTACAGAGAGTTAGTTAACAATTACAGTGAGTTAGTTAACAATTAAAGAGAGTTAGTTATCAATTAGCTCTTTTACTCCTTGGACTTTGTCAAGTTGTTAGAATCCCTGAGCGCCTGTTTTGTGCCAGGCGAACTATAAGTTCTGGTATAGCGTAGGGATACAAAGGGAAATGGGGTAGTTCGGTAGCGTGTGCAGGTGGTCAGTTGGTCAGTAGAGCAGGGAGAGCGAGTGGGGTAGGACGCTGAACGTATCAGCGTTATTGCTAGTAGTTGGTGTTAGTAGTAGTAGTAGTATTAGTAGTGGTAGTAAATAGTAGTAGTGTTGTGATCCATGTTGTATGTGTGGTTCTTTGGCTAAACTTGTTAGCAGAACCCACAGTACTCATGGGAGGATACTTAGATTAGATTGTTGTAGATTATGATAATAAAGCTCATTATTAATCACCACTAATAACTCTTGAGTCCAGTGTTTGTGTACTCTTGTGTACTGGTGTACATTGACAGTGTGTAGTAAATTATCATACCCCTAGACCCAGACAACGGAGACGACGCCATCAAACACAATAGTAAATAAGAAATTTGTGACAGACTTGAACAATAAATTACAGTAGCAGCACAAAATATTAAAATTTTGTTTGAAATTGAAATGATGAAACTTACTGTATAAGAAGGGACCCTGTTTTTAGATGAAGTGTCATAGTCGTCTTTGTTCAGATCAAATTTAAAAGTTGGGTGAAAGTTGATACGGCCTTCTTGGAAGCCTCCAAATATTTTCTCTAGAGAACAATAATTATGAACATTGAAATGAATGGACACATTTGATTATGATTCCCTTGTGGACACATTTGATTATGATTCCCTTGTGGACACATTTGATTACAATTCCCTTGTGGACACATTTGATTATGATTCCCTTGTGGACACATTTGATTATGATTCCCTTGTGGACACATTTGATTACAATTCCCTTGTGGACACATTTGATTATGATTCCCTTGTGGACACATTTGATTACAATTCCCTTGTGGACACATTTGATTATGATTCCTTTGTGGACACATTTGATTATGATTCCCTTGTTACAAAAATTACACCAAGTTTATCATTACACATGTTTCTTTCAATGCCATCTATCATGGACCAGAGGTCTACCATGGACCAGAGGTCTACCATGGACCAGAGGTCTACCATGGACCAGAGGTCTACCATGGACCAGAGGTCTATCATGGACCAGAGGTCTACCATGGACCAGAGGTGGGACAATTTACTGGGTCAACATTTTTTAGTTATGTTTTTTATTAATATACCAAAATTTTGTCATTGTGGACAACCTCATAGAAGTAAATGGGCGTAAATGGAAGCAATATTTTAAATGACAGATGTGTTGAATCTAATGTCAAATCCATCATAATAACACTTTCAGAAGGTGCTTGTCATGCTTGTCACTTGTTTCTGTCAGATATATTTGAGTAGCCACCTTCACTTCAATCATGTATTAAATATTTGAGTAACCCTCTTCAATCATGTATTACATATTTGAGCACCCACCTTCCTTCATATATTTCAGCAGCTGATCTGCCCCGAGGAGGGCCTCAAAGTTGGGGATATCCTCAGAGGTTATCTCATTGACCTTACGAACAACTGTCTGGCGTTCATGTTCTATACGAAAGTTGAGGTCTCCAAACCAGAAGACACAGTCAAATCTAGCTGTGATATCCTCTGGCCCTATGTCGGTTTTTAGAGATGGAAATAATATGTCTTATTTAGAAACATCAGAAGCATATTTAATCATATATTCTTTAGTGTCTAACAATAGCAACAAATGTTGCTTTTTTTTTTAGATTAAAAAAAACCTTTATGATATGCAAATTTGTATACATTGCCAGCCACAAGATATAGCCTTGAGGCAGTGGAGTAGCTAGAATTTGTGATGCCCAGGGAGGCATTTGACTTTTCTGCCCCTGATTAACAAAAACTGCAATACATAGAGAATACATAGAGACAAATAAACAATACATAGATGATACATAGAGACAAATAAACAATACATAGAGAATACATAGAGACAAATAAACAATACATAGATGATACATAGAGACAAATAAACAATACATAGATGATACATAGAGACAAATAAACAATACATAGAGAATACATAGAGACAAATAAACAATACATAGATGATACATAGAGACAAATAATCAATACATAGATGATACATAGAGACAAATAAACAATACATAGATGATACATAGAGACAAATAAACAATACATAGATGATACATAGAGACAAATAAACAATACATAGAGAATACATAGAGACAAATAATCAATACATAGATGATACATAGAGACAAATAAACAATACAAAGATGATACATAGAGACAAATAAACAATACATAGATGATACATAGAGACAAATAAACAATACATAGATGATACATAGAGACAAATAAACAATACATAGAGAATACATAGAGACAAATAAACAATACATAGATGATACATAGAGACAAATAATCAATACATAGATGATACATAGAGACAAATAAACAATACAAAGATGATACATAGAGACAAATAAACAATACATAGATGATACATAGAGACAAATAATCAATACATAGATGATACATAGAGACAAATAAACAATACATAGATGATACATAGAGACAAATAAACAATACATAGATGATACATAGAGACAAATAAACAATACATAGATGATACATAGAGACAAATAAACAATACATAGATGATACATAGAGACAAATAAACAATACATAGATGATACATAGAGACAAATAAACAATACATAGATGATACATAGAGACAAATAAACAATACATAGATGATACATAGAGACAAATAAACAATACATAGATGATACATAGAGAAAAGTAAGCAATTAAAAGTGTATGAAGTAGTCAGGAAAGGCCACCTCAAAATAAGAACAGCCTTGGGTGAAAATCCCCCCCTCACCCCCAACCATTCCACCTCTTCCTATGCCCATGCTTAGAGGCTTCCACGCCAATCATTGGCCGTTTGGTTGGGGACCCTTACTTGGGACCCCTTACTTGGGACCCCTTACTTGCGACCCCTTACTCAGTCCCTGGTGAACAATGTCTCTTTGCTCTCTATAAAATGAGTAAAACAGAGTAGGGTTAAACCTGAAAAAATAAACACAACAAAACAGCGAACGTGTCGGCAGAAAGCCTTCGTCAGCGAACAAAATAACAGAAAAAACGGTATAAAAATAAAAATTAGAAATAGCACTTAGCTGGTAAGTAGTATCTGTGGGCAGCAATAGAAGTGTTCGCTGTTTTACTCATTTTATTTTGTACTAACCTGATTGCAGTCTCTCCCCTTATTACCCCTCTTTGTTCTCTGAAGGCTTCAGTTTAAACAATGTTATTTTTTACATTTTAAGTGAAAGAGAAGAGCACCAAATGAACATGGTAGAAATAATAGGAATGTTTTGAGAACTAATCTTGCCAGTGTATTCTGTGCTGTTGTGTATGCTGTGCTGTTGTGTATTCTGTGCTGTGGTGTGTTCTGTGCTGTTGTGTATTCTGTGATGTTGTGTATTCTGTGCTGTTGTGTATGCTGTGCTGTTGTGTATTCTGTGCTGTGGTGTGTGCTGTGCTGTTACTCTTTCTGGAGCCTCACCTAATTTCTTGGCTGAAGGTGAAGCTTGGAAACCTTTGGGAAGCTTGAGATCTTGTATCACTTTGAGATAATCTCCAAGTCTATGTTTCTTGCGGGAGGTATCGTTATCTCTGTCAGCTGTGTGGAATGTGAAAGGAACCGAATGTAAAGCAGCTGTTTGATGCCGATAAGATAAAACTTAGTTTTAAGAAGGTACCATGAATTTACATAGTTTAAACATTATATAAGATGAGACGATGAGTTAACATGGTATAAAATGTGTATAAGAAGAGACCATGATTTTACTTAGCATAAAACTTATATAATAGAAGAGACTATGAGTTTATATAGCATAAAACTTTTATAATAGACGAGACCATGAGTTAACATAGTATAAAACTTGTAACATTAGTGGCCATGATAAGCTTACATGTCAAATGACAGTTGATGAACAGGTAAGAAGTTCCAAATAATGTCATATAAATGCCAATGGCTCCTTTAGTTTTCACCATACTTAAGGCCCTTAGAGAAATGATATCATCTTCTGGACCTGCAATAATAATGAGAATAGTTGGTAAAACTTGAATTTATTTAATGATTTAATATCATCTCTTGTTCAAATATATTAATAATATTAATATTTAATAACTTAATAATCAAAATTATAATTTAACCTAGTCGACTGATTTCAATAAGTTTTCAAAAGTATTTAATCATGTGTGTTGACATTTGACAGAGGCAACAATTAGAATAATGTTGAAACTGTTCAATGAGTTCTCTGCCACCAACACAATGTCAGCTTTCAACTTACAGGAACAAAACCAAATGAGGTCTCGTCTTATGAAGAGCACCAGATGCAAGGAGCCATGGGAAATTGAGTGGTAGAGAACATGGGATGGTCCGAGAACTTCCTGGATCTTTATTTCCCACTCTTTCCTTGATAGAAATAGAATCATTTTCGCTAGGAGATTTTTGTCTTCTTACAAAAATTACAACCACAGCTTAATCACAATAATTAATGAAAATGAAACATTTTTTAACAAAATGGGACTGAAATAAAAAATGTTAAAAATAGTTATCACTGACTTGTTGAAACTAATACTATTAATCAAGTAAATGATATCACAACTTATTCTAAATATTTATGAGAAATTCAATATTTTAATAAATAAATTGGTCATTAAAATGTAGCCACTTTTTTTTTTTTATTTGTTTTCCAAAATAGCATTTTAATGAGAAAAAATAGCTTGTCCCAATTTACTTTCATATTCATAGACAAAAAATAAAATGTTTTAAATTGACAATATTAATTTGAAAAGATTACTTGTTGGTAACATTTTCCTGAGTGCCTATAGCATAAATATCCTGAACAAAGTCACATTTTTCAGGCAAAAGAAAGTCCTCTAATGGTGTGCTCACCTCCTGGGGAGAGTTGATGAGGATTTACAATGGAATAAATGTTTTTAAATAAAACTGTTGATAAATAGATTTATTTCTTGCTCAATGCTTTGTCATGTTTCAGCAATGTCAAACTTTATGAAACAAGATGTCAAGCTGGGTAAAAATATTTGAATTTATAAAAGTGAGTTTACCTTTAGCTCATTCATATTCCAAGTGCCAACAAATACGTTTACTTTTCTTTCTGGAAAGTAGCGATAAATTTCTGAGGATAAATGATCTGGTGCCTCGGTCCCAATAATACGTTCTGGAGGTGCAATTCTGAGTTCAGTAAGTGGGAACATATTTTGGTATTATCAATTTGACTGTGATTTATATTAATTGGCTTTTTTTTAATATCAGATGACAGGCAATTATTAAATCATACAGATTAAAGTACCGGTAGCTCAATCAGTAATGGAAATTTAAAAAATGTTACTTGTTTTTCCATGAAAATTTTAACATTTACAAGATTTACTAAACAAAAATTGACACTTGTTACAGTTTTTGGATTGAACATTCCTATTTTTACACACAGCTTAATAACAGAGCAAAAATTGTATTGGCTGAACTTAACGAAGAAAATAACTCACCTTAATCTTGCTTCTTTTGTAGTTATGAGAGGCAAGACACTGACTGACATATATGATTTCTGGGACAAACAATCTCCACTATCTGCTTTATCAACTGTAGAATCTGTCTGACCCAATGGTGTAATTTTTTTAATGTTTGGATCAATTTTATAAGAAGTCCTTAGGCTTTTTGAGGAAAATTCCTTAGTGAGGGGTGGGGGTTGAGACTTTGGACTAATTGGATCTAATAGGGGGGAGCCTTGAGGAGCTTCAATATTGTTGCCATCCTCAAGATCAGACAAAAGTAAACGTTCATAATGCATATGCAAGGTATTGACCTCACTTTTGCTACTAGCGATGGAAGACTCTAAATTAGGAACACTAGTCAGTGACAAGTGAGAGAGATTTTTTTCCTTGGTGGAGCTGCTGATATCTGTTGTTTGTAATGCTTGACCAGGAACAGAGCTTTTTGTGAATTTTAAAAATCTGTCTTTGGAAGGTTCAGAGACACTGTTTGATTTTAAAAAGTTGGTACCAGTATTTAATTTATTATTGCTGTTGTTATTTGAGTTGTTTAAACTAGTCAAACTTTGGTTGATTGGAGGTTTACTTGAATAAGGATTGGTACTCTCACCAAGACTTTCTTTAGAACTTCTCCTTTTCAGCAATCTATCACCATGTTTGACCTGCCCTGGGATTCTCCTGGAATTATTTAGACTTGTAACATTGTCTGAAGAATTTTTTATACTGGTAGGAACTTCTAAGCTATTTTGTAGGTCATTAACATCTTTAAGTTTTTCCTGTACCTCTGGTTCATCACAAGATGACTCAAGTTCATGCTTTTTTTTCTCACCTTTCCCTATGATGTAACCTCTGGGAGTTCTGGGTGTTGTTCTTGGAGTTCTTGGTGTCTGTGGAGGTTTAGGAATGAAGCCTCCTTGATTAAGTGTTAATTCTGCTGATCCCAACTTTTCCACTCCAAGTATCTTAATGTCATTTGAGCTGCCTAATGTCTCAGAGCTATCCAGATTTTTCTTTTTTTCCTTTTCAGAATCTTTCTTCTCTGCATTTATTTCATTATCAAACTTTAAATTGTCCACATAAGTTTCAGATGGTCGTCTTGACCCTCTTGGTTTAGGTTTGGGCCTGCTCTCCTTTTCTGAGTTTTCTTGGTCTTTTCTTGGTTCTGGAGGATCTTTAGTTGATAAGTGAATATAACCAGAATTCACAGTAATGTCACTATTGTTAGTGGACACAAGTGTGTCTTCAAAAACATTTTCAACTTTGTTACTATTGATTTTTTGTAATGATGCGCTAGAGCCTAATTCCCTTTGCTTTTTTTCTTTTAACTTGGCTAGTGTGCTTTTCTTTTTCACTCGCAATTTTTTTGGTGAGGATGCTGTTGTCTCTCCTGCATCCTCTCCATTCATTGTTGTGTCTCCACTTTCCATTCCCATTAGTAGTCAGTTCTGTTTAATTAATTGAATCCCTTAAAAAAATATTTAAAAAAATAATAATTTCATCACTAATTGAGTGATTCACACACTAAACTTCTAGTTTAACTGACTTTTACTTAGTTAACTTGGTTGTGTTTATTATTCAGTATACTGTTAGTGAGCTTGTTGTACTTCATTGTCTTCAATGACATAACTTGACTTGACTTGTTTTTTTAAATTTCTTTATTGATTTCATACAATATTATAGCCATCACAATCAGTGTGCCTTCAAAAGATTAAGAATTCCAAATTATTCATCCATTGATTTCTCCTTTATCTAAAACAAGATTTATTTAAAATCGGGTAAAATATCTTTTAAAAAAATTATAACTAGACTATCAGTATCATATTTATAGTTGTAAGGTTGTTGAGGTAAACAGGAATGTATTTTTAATCCATAATGCGCATGCGCAATCATTTTATGAAGTTATGATTCCTGTTATGCATTGCGACATAGTAAAAACTTTTACATCACTTTTTTTAAAAATACCCTCAATACTTTTAAACAAATGTCAACTTAAAAAATTAATATTCGTATGCTTTATATTACTTTAAACAATTTATTTTTTAACAATGTATATTATCTACATTCCAATGCCGTAAAATAAGCCGTTGAAGTAACTGTCTATTCTTACTTAGACACCCCCTATTCAATCTCAAAAATAAGATCATACATCTATATAGCAGTATAAATTTCATATTTTAAAATTTTTTGGAATATATTAAATATTTTATAATAAAATATAAGAGTATTAATTTGTTATTTTTATTAAATAAAGATTCATATAATTAAACTGCACATGAGGAAAGTCAACAAGTTGTAATAGCGGAAGTGTATTTTCGCGTGCTTGCCAACACAGTTTCTTTAAAAGCAACTGAACCTGAATTAAAACACCTATCATTTTCAACAGTAACACTTACAATTCGAATTTGATGAATACATTTTTGGGTAAACATTATGAGGCTAATTCTTAGAGATCATCCCATGACGTCATTTGCGTGTTTATTATAGTTGCAGTGAATTAGGGTTTAGGTTAGGTTGAGGGATCGATTTAGGGTTCAGGTTACGGTTAGGTTAGGCTAGGCATAGTAGATACTTCGATGAAACAAGGGAGAATACTACTTTTTGTATATCGGAAATAGAAATCGGCGCCGAAAAATCCGAGTTTTTAATTTTCCGATGTGTGTGTCTATTTATTATTAAATTAGTACTTTCGATATATATTTGAGTTCCGTTTTCGGCCTTATAATTAGTTTAGGTAGACATCTTGGCCTACATTTTAATCAATTTCTTTTTCATTTACAATCTCAATCAGTCAGCTTTGAGAAAATTCTTGGTAAATATATGGCAACTTTCATCATTAAAATTAAGTCGAAGGAAAAAATTTGTCACTACCAAATTTTGTTTGCATCTGGGGAATCTATTGATCTACATGTATGCCAATTTTCACAGCGATAAGTGTCTTACGAGAGACGCCATGTTTCTACACGTTTGCAGCAGGTCATGCAGCTCGCCCAACCTAATTTCGCCATGGGGTGGGCCACGCCCCCTTTTTAATGGCGGAAGTTGCCGATACTTAGGAAATATTAATTTATTACCACTATTTACATCAAAATAATTGATAACTTGTGTTTCAGAATGCATTTTGAAGACATTTAAACTGGAATGTTTTAATTTGAGCTTTAACAACCCAGTAGAATCCATATTATAAATTATAAGAATTTACCGTGTGCAACACGTTGTCATTGGCAACCATTCACAGCCATATCATAGTACTACCTCAGAGTTTCATTCATAAGAGTTTGCCATGTGCAAAAACTACTATACCATTGGTCAGGGAAAGCTTTAATTAATTATTCATGTGCTAAAGTTGAAAGTTTAAACTAAGTCGACCCTAAACAGTATTTTAGTGTTAAGGCGATGCGTTGCCTTATATAAAGTATATAGTCATTGCGCATGACAGGATCAGCGGAATGAGGTCACAAGATGTGGAGGTTTCGTCCATAGTAAAAAATACCAAACGAACTCGCACTTTAAAAATTCATAGCTCAAAAAGTACTTAAGCTAAAAAGTTGATTCTGGTTTCATTTTTTTATTTGAAATTTGCTCTAACTGTGTTATTAAAAAAATTATTTCAATTTTTAAAAATTTTGTATTCAAGTGCCTAGGCATAGTAATTAGTTTTTAAGGTTCAGGTTAGGGTTAGGCTTAGGGATTGATTTAGGGATACATCAGTGACAGAGTTAACTCGTTGTGTCAACCAAGATGGTGGCCATCGTGGGCATTATTCTCAACATTTGGGGATAATTTGTTAATACACTTGAAATCATGATTGCCAACTCAATAACTGATTTTTTTATATATTTTTTTTGGACAAATATAAAAAAATGATGACTTTTTTTATTTTTTAGAATTAGTAAGTCACTAAGTCTTTAGTCTACAATGTTTGCTCAGCTTTGCCTAATTTGCTGTTGCCTTCTTGATATTTCTGTATTTAGGCTATATAAAAGCCCAAAAAGCAATTGTCTTTTAGATGTGCTTGCAATGAAATTTGAAAATAAGATCTCCACCCATGACGCCACATGTAACTTTATATAGATTATCTTCATGATGGGGATGAGAAATAAAGGATTTAGGCAGGCCTAATAGATGTATCGTGTATAGCCTAATTAATCAACATTTTAATTTCGTAGCTAAAATGTATATTTTGGTTAGCTTATAATTATAGTTAGTAATAAAGTAAAGTACTAAACTAAGTATTAGTTTTACCAGCAATTGTTTGATTTTGACAGATTTTGTTATTTCTCAGTACTAACTACTAGTAGGACATGTCTGACATTTTCTTAGTTTTACTCTTATTTAGAGCATAAGTTAATTTTTTTTAAATTTTTAAATAACAGCACATTTACAGTATTGGTAGGTCTTAAATACTAACAGAGTAACTATGCCTATATTGTATAGCAATATAGCCAAGAAAAGGACAAGAAGGCAAGAGAGATCAAATTAAGACTTGTTCAGCTGTGTATTAATTTTAATGTGATCTACAGATTCTGTGGTGAGACATACAGTAACTTCTGTAAGCTGTTATAATTTATATCGGCACAAATCCAGCATCCAAGAAAAGTTACAATCCAAAATGAATGGCCACAATCTGAGTGACAAACATGAATGTAGTGCTTATTTAGATAAGGAAATCATAAAAAAACTATTAGAAGTAGATGATATTACAGAAAAAGAACATTCACTACACTTGGCTTCCAGTAATTTTAAGGAGCCCTCTAAATTTCATAGTTCTGGTTTAGTTCCAAATTCATTTCCAGTTCAAGGAAAAAACTTTAATACAAATAGCTCAAATTCTTCAACACACTGGTGTTCTTCTAGTGCTAGTCCTACCGGTGCTCAGAATTTATTATGTGGATGGTTTGTTGATCCAAAAGTGGTTTGCAGAGGGAGTGAAAGCGGTTCAGCAGCAAAAGGTAAATCTAATTCATTTAACCACAATGTTCTGCTGTCCCGGGATTCTGGAAAAAGTCACAAAAAGAGTGTCTTTAGACATTACTCTGATCCCAGAGCTTATATTGAGCAATATAGACAAGAGAATAAATGCAATTCTGTCACCAAATTTGAGCCATCCGAATCACAATCATCATCTTTTTATGAACCTCCACTTTTACGAAGGAGTGCCTATCAGCAAATTTCTGCCCCCTCAACACTCCAGCACAACAGCGTTGATTCAAATTCAAATAGGACAAATCAACTTCAAAGAGATCAAGCTGTCAAAAAAGAATATCAGAAAAAAACAATCAGCGCCAATTTCCTTAACAATCTTCACCTATATAAACTCTCACACAATTTTGAAAAGCAATTGGAGTCATCACCAGAACAAAAATCAAATGCAGTTGAAAAAAGCATTATCAGAGACAATGAAAGGGCAGGGAATCCAGAAAATACAGTTGTATCAACACCATCTTTAAATAGCATATCAGTTCAGAAAATTCATGTCAGCAAGCTAAACTTATCAAGTCCTTCCAGTTCAAGTGAGATGTCATCCCTAAATTTGAGTAGGACACAGTCACCTAGGTTTGTATTTTTTAAAGAATTAAAAATCACTAAAGCCTATGTTAAATATGTAGTATGTGTAAGTTGAGTTCTAAGTTGTTTTAAAGAGTACATCATATTTACCCAGGGGCAAAAGAATTGTAATTTCCTCACAAAAAAACTATTCCTTTTCCCCATGAGAATGCATGTATGGTGGACATTTTTTTTCCATGATTTGTTGTTGTTGGGGATCTAAAGGTCTTACCTCTGGATATATTCATGTTACGGCAGTATGACAGCTCATCTAGTGTTAATTACAAGGGGGAAAATTATCACAGAGCTTTGGTAGTGCTGTGAATAGTTGTAATACTTGATTAGGTATTAAAATGTTGATCATTATTTCATTTTACATATTAGGAATATCAATAATAAACAAGAATGTCTTTGCTCCCCCATCAGTTGTTGATACAATCTTGATGTGTAATCAAGAGTAGACTTGTGAAATGTACTGACTTAAAATGATTTTATGTAAAGATATTTATTTATTTCAAAAAAATCATTTAATCTTTCGAAAGCAATGCATTTTTTTAAAACTATAAAAAATTTCTTTCCAGTGCTCCAACGGGCAGTATTGTTACTAACCAGTTTTTAAGTCGTAAAATTGGAAGTCCAACCAGTCAACCCCGAGGCCTGGATCCTCTAGTGTGGACTTCAGGAAAAAGTGAAAAACAGGTCTGTATTGCTATTTTTTCATATTCTTTTACACTTTCTTTTGTTACTTTTATTCTTTTATTTTAGTTGCTAATATAAGCATGAATACATTTTGGAAGGTTGTAGTAGCTATACACCCATTTGAGTTTTCAAGTTTTGCTGCATTTAAGTTTTAAAAATAATGTATATTTATGTGTAAACATTTCTTTATCTGTTGTTCTTTCATGGATTCATCAATGTTTTTCTTTAGCACAGAAAAGTTAAATCTTTCATGAATTTTGGTTAATTTAGGATTTTGAGGATTTAAAAAAATTTAATGGTACATGAACAGTGTGCGGGTAAATTTTAACAAATCAATATAGCACAACAATCTCTAATTAATCCAAGGAACAGCCAGCTAAAAAAATGACAGGAAAAGAAAATCCCAAGAAAGACGTGGGAAGAGACTGTAAATTAACAAGATTTGTGTCCCCTGACTGTTGGCTTGGTCAGACTGTTGCTTGCCCTGAGATAACATCACAATCCTTTTCTAACATACTTGTCCCAGTCAAAGATTTGATTTTTGATGTAAGCCCCATTCTGACAGTAAGTGCCGCCAGTAAGTGTGACAGAAACAAAGGAAATGGTGCCTTGGAGATCAATCAGTCAGTACAGTCTTTGAGGAATGGAGGCCGCAAGAACTACAGACATAAAAGTATGATCAAAAGGTCATGGAGCGCTGCTTATTTATCTGATAAATCTAAATTCAGTGACCAGTCCGCTGAAGATCCCAGCACTGACTGTGGAGAGTTTCTCACCATCCAGGCCGGCAGTGGAAATCTGACCACGCAGCAGGTGACACCTGGTCCTTATTTAAAGTTTTGGAATTCCACCTTGCCTGCTAGAGCTTCTGGTCATCATAGAAACAAAGCAAAGAATGTGATCCTGAGGCGGTTATCAGAGATTTACAGATCTCAGCTGTCAGAGACTGATCAGAACATTCTAGAACAAACTGGACGATGTCTGGACTCTGACCAGCATGCAGCCGCAGGGGTAGGGGATTGATGATGTGACTCTAATCATTTCCTGTGTCCATATATACAAATAAAAAAATAACAAATCTTATTAGATTTTAATTTCCCATAACCCCTCAAATGTCGCAATTTTAAAAAAATCTCTTCAAATAATTAAAACATTTCAAATGTTCTTTACTTAGTTGGCTATGCAGATAAAAAACCGCAGTCCAGATTATTAAAAGAAATTTTAATAAGCCACGCTAAATAATCAGATGATGGAATTACAGTAGCTTATGTAATGTTTGACTTATTTAAGTTTTCTTCAGTATAAAAATTTCTGTTACAAAGTACAACTGATTATTCTGAGTTAATCATCAGTTCAAAACGATCATAAAACTCTCATGTGTACTTATTTATATGGAATGAAATGTTGTTTTGCTTTGAGTTTGATTTTCGGAATGATCATCATTGAAGTTCATTAGAGACAAACGAGCAGGATAGGCTTAGAAACAAATTTGTTGTTATGAAATTTTAATATTTGGACCTTGCTTCAGCACCTTACAGTTTGAAATCCCAAAATAAACACAACCAGCCTCTGTCACATTTCCAGCTAGAGTTATTCAACCTGTATTGTTACTAACTCACCTATTTAAAGTTGTACTTTTGGAGCTTTATTATTGGTCGCGGTGTTCCCTTTCGATAACATTGTGTCAACTGTTGCAGTGGCTGTAATTCTGCACAATGCCTTTGCACTCTATATTTTGAGCACATTGTAGATTTCTGTTTTGGATGCAGTTATATTTTCTGTAGCTTTTTTTTTTTTAATGGCTTTTGTATCATATGCACATAAATGGACATGTTAACATGAAACTGTACCCTGTTTCCCTCAGTTGCTGCACTCTCTAATCATTGGGTCCTTTCGGAGAACCAAGACCGGTTGGTGGTGTCTGATTCAAGAATTTTTTTTTTCTTCTTAATCTTATAGCAAATATTCAATCAACCTTCTGTAACCTTCAGTATAGAATATTGTAACACTCATCATAGGCAACTAGATCTTTCAGCATAGCATAATATTTCATTAAGTTCCAATTCTTAGTGAAGACGAAGCGACTAAATAATAGTTCTGGTAATTTTGATCCTTCGTTTAATATTTTCAAGTGTTCTCCTAACACATTGATGTTGTGCAGATAACAAAGTTGAATTTTAATGATGAATAGCATTCTTTTAATGTACCCTGTGCTTTTGTCCAGTTAATTTTTAAATTTTATCAATCCATCAGTTTTAACATTACATAATATTTGTTCTTTTCAGTCAAATCTTTAGCTCTTCATATTTTAAAAGTAATTTAAAGTAACCACTTTCCCACTTGAGGGTCCTCCGCTTTTATGGTAAACGCTTTCATATCATATGTTTAATCAAACTGTCTGCTTTACTTAGTGTAATTAGCCGTCTGTGGTTCCATTTATTACAACTAAAGCTTTATTTTATTTTGTGTGTGACATTACAACAAGCAAACTAACAATAACACTCCAATAAATCATCCATGTGTATTATTTAATTGTTTGCCCTTATTGGCTAGTGAAATAAGACCATGTCCATAGAACACAGTTCACCCTTGTACAGTTGAAGTGGTGCACGTGTAAAGCAGGTGCAGCACTGATCAGGATTTCTAATTAATTCATTGAGAGACATTTTAAAATATTCAAAAACTAATAATCTTACCAAGTGTTTGATGGTAACCATTGCTAGAATGATCTCATCTTGAAATGTCATCTATTTAGTTACTCTTTGTGGGTGAGTCAAAATCAAGTTTGAACAAAATATCAAACATAATAAAACATTATAATATTGATATGGTGCATTTTAAGTGATTATTTTTTCATTCATAATTATGATGTGAAATAACTATAAATTTTAATGAAAATGTATTAGCTTTTGGGAGAGTTCCTGTTCCTTATGTAGAGAAGATTTATCAATTTTCAATGACATAATGTAGAGGGAATCCATAAAGTTAAGTTTTTAATTTAAGTTTTTGATGAACATTTGACTAGAGTTTGCTTGGAAATTTTATTTTTTTTTCATTTTCTTTGTATTTTTTCTGACTCTGATACCAGATTTGGTATGATGGCGGGCAAGTCTATGTGAATCTAGCAACCCGCTATGAAACAACTCAAAAGTAATGTGTCTGGGGCTTCAGTTGCCTGAGGTAGATTATGGCTGGCTACTTTCACCTACTGTATAATCCATTTCTCCTTTTTGAAATATATATAAAACCATATCTTTATCTTTAATGGCCTGGAATGTTATTAACTTAATTATCTTGCTATTTCTATTTATTGTGTGATGCTGCTTGTGAGAAGTTAACCCTTTTCTCTGTTGAGTCATATCATATTAACTCTTTGAAACCCAATAATCCGATGTCTTCAAAATTCTGAAACATGCGGAACCCTACTCATTAACTATGATGGGCCCATTCAAATACAGCTTACTTAAGTATTAACGACAGCTTATTTTAGTATTCACTACAGCTTATTTGATTCAAGTAAATTTGTTTGGAATAGGGCCAAGTAATAGAAAAATTGTGAAAATATACAAATTCTTTACTGACAACAGTAAGGTATTTATATGAGGAGAGAACAATTTGTGTACACTGACTGCAATATCAGAGGTAAAGAACAGTAATCAATGAAATGTAATGTCTTGAACATTTCTGTTGCATATTTACATCTCGGATACTGGATTTAATTTGTTTCTTGGTGCCATACTGAAATAAGTTGTCTCGAGATTATTTGATCATGTGGCAACCAGGGTCATACCGCTTGATCATTTGGCAACCAATATCATACCACTTGATCATGTGGAAACCAGGGTCATAATTATCTGGTTTTATCACCTTGTAGTGGCTTATTGCTTTGCATGGGCATGATAGACTGTGGCTTACTGCATTTATCCTCAAATTTATTTTATTCTTTTATGTTGAATAATTGAACATTTCCATATGAGGAGCCATCCATATACTATGGATTATTGTTGATTTTTGTGGGATTTTTGTCTAGCTTACGGGAGGATATAGCCTGTCTGGGGGAGTCTCATTGGAAAACGTTACCCTGAAATTATGACAGTCCATAAAAAGCCTATTTATACATCTGATCAATTCAACTGTCAACTAAAAATCTGTTCAATCCATGATTTCTAATTATTCTCTAAGACAAAGTCTTCTTCTTATTATCATAACGCTGTTGCTTTTTGTGTTTGACAAGTGAACTCGCAAATGGAGACTAATGACATCTTGAGTGCCCCTGTTCTCCCTTGTATGTTTGCAAGGCCTGTGATGTAATCAGTTGGTTAGACTGAGCAAAGATTTTTTTCTTTTCTCCAGAGAAGTGAAAAAAAACTAAAAACCTTTGACATACTCTTTGCCAAACCCCAATGTTTATTGTGCAGGGGGGGGGGGGGGGGAATTGAGGGTCCAAAAATGTGCAGATGAAAACAGGAGGGGAAAAAAGGGGTGGGGGTTGCTAACATAATATTTGGATGGCCCCTAATATATTAAGTCTTATTCTTATTATTTTTTTTCTATGTAGGTAATGGATCTTTTAACTCTATATATTTACCACATCCTGTTTATTTGTTAACATGGCTTTGATTGGCTGATTCTTTTACAAAGCTAAGTACCAATTCCAATGTAAAGTCCCAGGCCAGAGATGTATTTTGACTTGGGATGAAATACAACAAACGTGTGATGCTGGCTTGGTGTTGGTTCACACCATCTCCCATCTCTTTAAGTTAATTGCCATTCTTATATGTATGGATATATATACCACAACAGCTGCTGCTGACCTGTAGCAATTAAATATGGTACAAAGACTGTGATTTATTATTTGATTGAAATAAATTTCAAAATATAATTCTTGGTTTAGAGCCACAACCTTTATACATTACAAACTATAGATAAATTGTATCGTTGATTTGTAAGACACCTGTATGGGCAGACGTGTAATTTTGGCCATATCAGTTTTGCCTTTTCAATAATTGTGATTGCGTGTGTTGTTGACCTTTCTTTAGATTTACAAAAACAAAAATCTTTAAAATTTGGTATTTAGTAGACTTGATCGATCAGTGAAATGTAGGGCATGTGCATCAACTTCCACACAAATGTCTATTTCTTTTTTGTTCAGTAACCTCTGTTTTCTCTGTAGAATAAAAGTATATTTATCAACTATGTGTAAATGCAAACCTAAATATGTCATCAACATCGGGTGCATTAAATGACTGGATTCCATAGTTTGTATTAAATGGGACTCCCCTGAATTAATGGGGACCCCCCTGAATTAATGGGGACCCCACTGAATCTTATGATCTCAACACAACTCAGCTTAACTAAGAAAAGAAGGCACAATTTTGATTGGACTGCTAATCAATAATAATAATACTAATCTGTGACTGTTTCCTGCACAGATTTGTGGAGCCCAAGATTTCAACAACAGGCAGGATCACCCAGGTGTGGCCCAGGATCACCCAGGTGTGGCCCACAAGAACAAGACAGTCCCAACACAAACACCGCGACCTTCTGTCAACAAATTACCAGACGACAACGGAGGGAAAGAAGTTTGTCCTCATCTGGCCAGCTTAGTGAAGACCAGTTACAAGAATCAAAATGTCGTGGATCTGACTTACAAGAGTAAATGTAAGGACTACATGGCTCTCAGTTGTACAAGTAAATGTAAGGATGTCTCGGCTCTGATAACAGGCGTGCTCAATTTACAATATTCATTCCAGGAAAGGGAAATGACCATAATGGCCATCTGATAAAAAATGACATATTTGACCAACTCACGTGCCTGACAGACCAGACCGGGTGTAAAAACAAGTTTGTGCTGTAAGGTCATTGTGTAATAATATTGAGAAAGTGCCATTATATCAGATTTGATCATTTGATAAGACTGGTACAGTACAGAACAATTTGATAAGACTGGTACAGTACAGAACGGTCTAGAGGACTACAAAATCAAATGACCTGAAAGGCTGAAGTTGGAAGCTATTTAAATGAACACAGTAGCCATTAGCTGTGGTATTTGAATGAACACAGTAGCCATTAGCTGTGGTATTTGAATGAACACAGTAGCCATTAGCTGTGGTATTTGAATGAACACAGTAGCCATTAGCTGTGGTATTTGAATGAACACAGTAGCCATTAGCTGTGGTATTTGAATGAACACAGTAGCCATTAGCTGTGGTATTTGAATGAACACAGTAGCCATTAGCTGTGGTATTTGAATGAACACAGTAGCCATTAGCTGTGGTATTTGAATGAACACAGTAGCCATTAGCTGTGGTATTTGAATGAACACAGTAGCCATTAGCTGTGGTATTTGAATGAACACAGTAGCCATTAGCTGTGGTATTTGAATGAACACAGTAGCCATTAGCTGTGGTATTTGAATGAACACAGTAGCCATTGGCTGTGGTATTTGAATGAACACAGTAGCCATTAGCTGTGTTTATTTGACCAGCTGACAGGACTTGACATACTTGAAGATTATTTCAAATATACCTGACATACCAACAGATATGTTTTTTTTTATTGACTTTCAAACAAATGATGGTGGATCTTTTGGTGGATAATATAGAGATGAATCTAATTTACTTTGAACTTGGTCAAAAACTTTCGGCACAATAAAGATTGTAGAGCCATTAACTCACTGACCAAAATACTCTGGACAAACTTTTCAACATTCAATGAATATAACATTTATTATTGTGGTAACAATAAATATGAACAAATACATTAAAAACTTTTGTAACAAAAAATCTGTGTTGATAGAATGCATTGCAACTTTCTGAATGGATGCAAGAATAGATTTGTTGGAAGTTGCACATGTTTAAAAAAGATAAATGATAGATAAATAAGTTCAACAGTGGCAAGGGAAAAGCACCTGTTACCTATTTAATTTTAACAAATATGTGTTTGTCCCATCAAATTGATTTTTCCAGATGTCCAACTGATCTACTCTGCTATTAAAGGCAGCTCTATTGTAAGTGCCAAAATTCAAGTGATCACATGACCCTCCACTTCAACAAGCAACTTGACTTGCTTTGCAGAGGTTCTTAACATTTTAAAATAAATGGCCTCCCATGGAGGTTTATAGAGTTCAAATAGTGAAAGATGGATTTCAGAATAGTTCAGTTATAATTAAAATAAATAAAAGATTCCATTTGTTTCAAGAGTATGGCATGGGCTATTTGGCTTATTGAATCTCCTCATGATGGCCACAATGAACCACTGCAGTAGCTGTCTACAGGCCGCAATGAACCACTGCAGTAGCTGTCTACAGGCCGCAATGAACCACTGCAGTAGCTGTCTACAGGCCGCAATGAACCACTGCAGTAGCTGTCTACAGGCCACATTAAACCACTGCCGTAGCTGTCTACAGGCCACAATGAACCACTGCAGTAGCTGTCTACAGGCCACAATGAACCACTGCAGTAGCTGTCTACAGCCCACATTAAACCACTGCAGTAGCTGTCTACAGCCCACATTGAACCACTACAGTAGCTGTCTACAGCCCACATTAAACCACTGCAGTAGTTGTCTACAGCCCACATTAAACCACTGCAGTAGCTGTCTACAGCCCATATTGAACCACTGCAGTAGCTGTGTACAGCCCACATTGAACCACTGCAGTAGCTGTCTACAGCCCACATTGAACCACTGCAGTAGCTGTGTACAGCCCACATTGAACCACTGCAGTAGCTGTATACAGGCCACAGTTCAGGGAAGACAACTCTGTGGTAGATAACATTCAGAGACTTACTCAAGAGGGTGACACAGCAGCTAGTAATATTACTAACCCACAAGAGTTCAAAAGTTAAGCCCACTTCACAAACTGTGGTGATCTGAAGGTTGGTTTTTTATCTGTGTCATATTCTCTATGTTTAAATGTTTTCAACTGTATAAGTAGCCTACTCATCTTGTAACTGTATAAGTAGCCTACTCATCTTGTCACTGTATAAGTAGCCTACTCATCTTGTAACTGTATAAGTAGCCTACTCATCTTGTAACTGTATAAGTAGCCTACTCATCTTGTAACTGTATAAGTAGCCTACTCATCTTGTAACTGTATAAGTAGCCTACTCATCTTGTAACTGTATAAGTAGCCTACTCATCTTGTAACTGTATAAGTAGCCTACTCATCTTGTAACTGTATAAGTAGCATACTCATCTTGTAACTGTATAAGTAGCATACTCATCTTGTAACTGTATAAGTAACATACTCATCTTGTAACTGTATAAGTAGCCTGCTCATCTTGTAACTGTATAAGTAGCCTACTCATCTTGTAACTGTATAAGTAGCCTACTCATCTTGTAACTGTATAAGTAGCATACTCAACTAAACTAACAGTTTGAACTTTCATTCACATTTAGTGTAGTGTAGTGTAGTGCAGTGTGGTGTGGTGTGGTGTGAGGTGGTGTGGTGTGAGGTAGTGTGGTGTGGTTTGATGTATTGTGGTGGGGTGTGGTATAGTGTGGTATAGTGTGGTGTAATGTGGTGTGGTATAGTGTGGTGTGGTGTAGTGTAGTTTGATGTAGTGTGGTGTGGTGTTGTTTAGTGTGGTGTAATGTTGTGTGGTGTAGTGTTATGTAATATAGTGTGGTGTGGTGTAGTTTGGTGTGGAGTAGTGTGGTGTAGTGTTATTTGGTGTAGTGTAGTGTGGTGTAGTGTGTTGTGCTGTGGTGTGGTGTAGTGTGGTGTGGTGTAGTGTGGTGTAGTGTAGTGTGGTGTAGTGTAGTGTGGTGTAGTGTGTTGTGCTGTGGTGTGGTGTAGTGTGGTGTGGTGTAGTGTGGTGTAGTGTGGTGTAGTGTAGTGTGGTGTAGTGTGTTGTGCTGTGGTGTGGTGTAGTGTGGTGTGGTGTGGTGTAGTGTAGTGTGGTGTAGTGTGGTGTGGTGTAGTGTAGTTCCTTAAAAAGGTATTGCGTTTCTTTCTTTTTTTTTAAATTTTAAAAAAAAAACTGACTAAGGCAGTGGTTCTCAACCTTTCTAATGCCGCGACCCTTTTTTACAGTTCCACGTGTTGTGGCGACCCCCAACCACAAGTTAATTTTCGTTGATACTTTATAACTGTAGAGTATATGTGTTTTCAGATGGTCTTAGGCGACCCCTGTGAAAGGATCGTGAGACCCCGTAAGGGGTAGCGACCCACAGGTTGAGAACCACTGGACTAATGTTTCAGGTTTTATTTTATTAATCACAATTTATCCCCCACAACCACGTGATCTTTGCTGCACCGTTCCTCTTATATTATTGTAAGCATCGTTCCAGTCCTAGGGCTTGACTTTAGGTTGGTCAAATAGGTGTTGTGAAGACAGTGGTTGGTTGGCCTCCAGCAGCTGCTTGATTACTGGACAGTTTTCATCGAACCAGTCCTCAAAATTTTTTTGAGCTTGGCCCCAGAAACTGCATGGTGGTGTTAGACATTATTCCTTGAGCTTGGCCCCAGAAACTCCATGGCGGTGTTAGACATCATTCCTTGAGCTTGGCCCCAGACATCATTCTTTTGGGTGATGCCCAACCCAATCTGACGCTGTGATTATCTAGAGATGTGGAGTTCAGACGTTCTTCCTGAGCATCCACCATAGTTTATACATCTGTATATATTGTGTCTCTCTGAGCATCCACCATAGTTTATACATCTGTATATATTGTGTCTCTCTGAGCATCCACCATAGTTTATACATCTGTATATATTGTGTCTCTCTGAGCATCCACCATAGTTTATATATCTGTATATATTGTGTCTCTCTGAGCATCCACCATAGTTTATACATCTGTATATATTGTGTCTCTCTGAGCATCCACCATAGTTTATAAATCTGTATATACGGTATTGTGTCTCTTCAAGTTTGTTGTGTTCACTCGTTTGGTGAGTCTTTTGGGTTGTAAGAAAAGGTTGAGTTTGGTGATGATGAGATGGTCTGTCCATGTAAGAGAAGGTTTAGTTTGGTGATGATGAGATGGTCTGTCCATGTAAGTGAAGGTTGAGTTTGGTGATGATGAGAGGGTCTGTCCATGTAAGTGAAGGTTGAGTTTGGTGATGATGAGATGGTCTGTCCATGTAAGTGAAGGTTGAGTTTGGTGATGATGAGATGGTCTTTCCATGTAAGTGATGGTTGAGTTTGGTGATGACGAGATGGTCTGTCCATGTAAGTGAAGGTTGAGTTTGGTGATGATGAGATGGTCTGTCCAACAGTCTGCACCAAATCCAGACTTTGTTACACGCATGCCCCGACTGTCATTTCTCCCTATGCTAACATAGTCCCACGACTTGATGACACCACACAGTGAGTGGACACAGGTCTACACTTAAGACGATCGTCCGTCCATACAGAGAAATAGTGGGTTTAAATCGGGACCAGTAACCACGATAACCAGATGATTCAAATCGGGAGCAGTAACCACGATAACCAGATGATTTAAATCGGGAGCAGTAACCACGATAACCAGATGATTTAAATCGGGACCAGTAACCACGATAACCAGATGATTTAAATCGGGACCAGTAACCACGATAACCAGATGATTTAAATCGGGAGCAGTAACCACGATAACCAGATGATTCAAATCGGGACCAGTAACCACGATAACCAGATGATTTAAATCGGGAGCAGTAACCACGATAACCAGATGATTTAAATCGGGACCAGTAACCACGATAACCAGATGATTCAAATCGGGACCAGTAACCACGATAACCAGATGATTTAAATCGGGACCAGTAACCACGATAACCAGATGATTTAAATAGGGACCAGTAACCACGATAACCAGATGTCCTGAGGAATCCCTCACACGATTGTCAATAATTATTTATTTTTTTATTGTCTATTTATTTTGGTCGTTCGTAAATTACGTCACGCTCAGAGGTGGTCGGAGGGGGGGGTCGAGAATTTTAACAGGGGGAGTTGGGTTAACAATTTGTGACGTCACAAAATTATTATTTTTAAAAAAAATTAAAATGTTATAATTTTAAAAAAATCTTGATTCAATAAATTTTAAAAATTTAATTTGAGGTCGAAATTGGCTCAGGCTCAGGTAATAGGTACCGAAAACCCCAGTCCTGCACACCATCGGCGCACATCCAA